CTGTACTGCTGGGACTGAAATATATAAACTGGCAGGTATGAAAGTAACAATGAAACAGCTTTGTTTAAAAATGCAGCAGTATATCTGAATAGCAAAATGTTCCGACTTTTGCATAAACAATATTACGAACAGTTGTAAGATTATAGTCATGGAACAAAATGTTCAAGTAATTTGATCTGTATTAAAATTTCACCATTGGAAAATCTATGGTGCTAGGAAGAGCTATACTAAATCAGATCTAACAATTGTGTAATCTGGCATTCTCTTCAGAAAGGTTAGCCACCTATAAGTGGAAATCCCATACTTAAGAAGAACAATAAAAGTTCAGTAACATCCTCCCATTTAAGTTACCTAGCAGTTAGTATAAAAAAGCTGTCACACCTAGTAATGGCTCAAGAAATAAAATTTAGTGAAGATTACGGAAAAATAGAAACTAATAATGAATGACCTATTGCAACAAGGAAGTTTGTGAAGCCATAGAATAGGCTAAAAGAGGGAAAGTGCCTGGAACAATGGATTTCTAGCTTCTTTCAGGAATAATTGTTACAATTTTTTTTTTTCAAAAATGAACTCTATTTTATTGAACGGAAAGCTATGAGGTAGCTGGATTGAAATATACTAATAAAACATTACAGTAGTCCTCACTTAACGGCCATAATTGGGATCAGAATCTCAATTACTGAAGAAGTTAAAAGAGACATCACATGACTGCCTTGTTCAACAGCTGCAATCTTTACACACTCAAGTTGTTAAGCAGTTTCGCAGATCGAGTCCCAGCTAAGGAGTATGAGTTGCTTCAATTTTTACTAAAGAGAGATTGAGAGATAATAGAAATATATTTTGGAATACTTAGAACAGCATAAGAAAAACAAGCTTCACTGATCTTTCTAAATGCAGAAAAGGCCTCTGCCAATTTGAACTAGACTTTCTTGTTTAAAATTTTGGAAGATACAGACTTTGGTGAGAATTTTATTAAATGGGCAAAATCAATTTATATTTCACAGAAAGCAGATAAATGTAAACAGAGAATTGACATACATTTGTGAAATACAGATGAGGTTGATATTATTCATATTATTCATATTAGTTCTGAAAGTATTGAACAGAACAATAAGACAAGGCAAAAGGATTGCTAGAGTGGATTAAAAAAGAAAAGTATAAATTATGGGCAATATTTGGTGAAAATCTGGAAAGTCCTTTGGAAGAAATAGAAATATTAATTTAAAAATTAAACACTTTTAGTGTGCTATCTCGATTTAAAATTAATAATGAGAAAATGAAGATATTAATAAAAACATGGCTGGAAGAGCAAAAACTCTTAAAAATGGTTTTAAGATGGAGACAAAAGTGAAATATTTGGTTGACTAATATGAATTGTATATCAGAACAATTAAAACATGAAGTTACAAATATGCTAAGATTGGGAAAAGTACAGCTGACATTGTTAGGTTAAATTTTTATGATTAAAATGGTGTTTTTCTTTAAACTAGCTATTTTTATAAGAAAAAATGTACCATTTTAACAATGGCAGAATGAAATGTCTCAAGAAAACAACCAAAGCTGGGAGATCACCAAGGGATTCTAAAGATTAAATTTATATTTTTTTTTGCAAGATACAAAGAGATAAGGAGGACTAGGACTGCCTGATTGGAAATTGTATTTTGCAGCCTGCAGCTTGGTTTGGTTGAATAAGTGGATGCAGCTAAGAAATAAGAGAATCTTAGAACTTGAAGAGTTCTAACCTGAAGTTTGGATCTCTATAGTACATTAAAGTTAAAGTTAATATAAGTTTTAAAAATTGCTGTATTAAATTGCCAAATTGAGCATATGGAATAGATATAAATCCAAATGTATCTAAAATATCTGTATGGATCTCAGCACCAGAAGAATTTTAAAGAAAAGAAACAGTAGTGTAAGAGAAACGGTTAACATATAAAGAGCTGTACATGGCTCTGGAGAATATAAGATGAAATCAAGAGAATTTGACTGCAGAGAGGTTTAGTTTTCAGTAGTTTTCATATGCAGAATTAAAAGAAACACTTAAAATAGATAACTGAAAGAGAATGATAAAATAGAATAAGGACTTTACACATAATATATTGCTTGAACAATGGGAAAATGTGAAAGAATTGAAATTTACACTACGCTGTTATTTAAAAGAGGTGCTTGATAAAATAGCGTATCAGAAAAATTGTCTAGAGTGTATAAAGGTACTGCAAATTTAAATATGTGAAAACATGAAGGGTCATTTTATCATGCCAGGTGAACTTGCAAAAAATCCAGAAAATTTTGGGTTCAAATACAATGATACAAAGAGTTTTAAGATGAATATTCAATTGAAACCATAACTTTTCTTGTTTGGAATAATGGATAGACAATTAGAAAAGAGTTATGGAAGACTGTTTCTATACCCACAATGGAGGAATAGATGGTAAAGATGACAATTAGCAGATGTGTCAAAATTGACTTGCATAATTAGAGAAGGACAATAACTACATTTATCAGTGATTAAAAATGAACTTGTGGTTTATGTGTTTGATCTTTAGAAAGGGTAAACTATGGAAAGAAGGAAGTTATGCTGTAACTTTGGAAAAAGAGGGCAAAATATATTTATAACCACTTTTAAGAATATCTGAAGCCTTTTTTCTTTTCTTTCTTTGCACTCATTTCACTTGTTACTTTTTTGTTTACTTCCCTTTTTCTGTCAAAATTCGTATTTTTTTCTTTTCCAATTCTCTTTTATAAAAATTATATATAAAAAAGGTCAGAGGGGTAGTTGATTTGACAAGTCTGGTTTTGAAAGGTGTTCTTTAAAAAGGCAGTTGCATAACAGTAGAGCTCGACTTTGGTTGAGGCTGGGTTCTTATAGTTCTATTTAATTTTTGCAGTGGCTTATTAAAAATCTTGGCTTGGGCTCAGAGTGATTCAGTGAACATACCTCATTGTGAATAACTGATTGCTGCTGCTGTGTTTTTTTTTTAAAAAAGAACCAAATTACCAGTTCTCTCATATTGAGAAGTTTCTGATGTTGCATCAGGTTCTGTAAGGGTATTTTCTCGGCAGCTCTTGCTTGGGGAAATCTGGACATTGGTGGGTAAGAAAGTTTCTTAGCATGCATAGCACTTTAATTCCAGAGCTTTCTGCTGTAGGTGTGATTAATTTTATAAATGTGGTTGGAGAACTCATCTGGCAATCATGAAACTGAATATCAAGATGTCATTCTAGTACTCTCCAGATGTTAAGTCAAGATGACAGTTTAAAAATCTAACTTTTATAGGTGCATACATTCCCATTACTCTTCTAAGTATTAGTTTTAACCCTTTTACCTCATTTCTTAGTTTACAAACATAGGCTAGATTTCTTCAGAACTCTATATTCGAATACTGTGTACATTAGGATTGTATCTGGTTGGTGGGCATTCCAATTATTCATTTATTGATAACTTTGATATAAACAATGAATTTAATACTGTGGGAAAGCAGCTGAGATTAATACTATTGCTCTTTCCAGAGTCACTATAGTCACTATCAAAAGCTGAAATAAATAGAGAAAACTTGAACATATAAAATTGTACCCTAAAGAAAATCGGGGAGAAGAGTTTCCAAGCTGTTTCTATGTGTATTAACTGAACTTTTATCCAGAGCAGAAGAAAACACTGATTATATTAAGCTTTATATCCATGTGTGGTAGCTACCATAGCATTTCTTTTGTATGACAGTAATCTAGTTTGTATCATCCTCTTGCAGTTTTGAAATTAACCTGTAATTTAGTCTTCACCCCAAATGACAATAATTCAAATGACTCTGTGGGGTGCCAGAAGATGTTCTGTAAACAGGGCTCAGTAAAAGGGGATAAGGTAAAGATCCAACAAGCCAGGCTATTTACAATTTTATCCGGACTGGAGTAATATCATTATGTTGCCTACATTTGTAATTAATAATTAAATTTGCATCAATCTTTAGAAAATTGTAGCAACCTTTTAAAAACAATAATTCATGGGAAGAGTTTAAATGAATAATTTTCTTTCAAAAATTTTGCCTCTGAAGTTATGTAACAATCTTGTTTCATAAATATGACATGCTGAATTTTCAATCTCTCAACATTTTCTGTATAATTATCTAATACAACAAATATCAGTAATTAACTGTTAGAAGTTAGTTTTGAAGATGTGTCTAACATGTCTATTAATTTTCACTAAAATTTTGAATTAATCTGCTAAATATATGACCACACTACCACCATCATACGCTTACTAACGAATGGAATTGTAAACTAGACCAATGATGTTTTTATGATGGGCACATACATATTAGGATTCATGGCTATGTCAGCTCATTATATTATGCTGCTTAGTTAAGAGCCTGATAGTACAGTGGACTAAAGCACTGTTATTAACATCTGCTGCTTGCAATTACTGCAAGTTCAAATCTCACCAGGCTCAAGGTTGACTCAGCCTTCCATCCTTTCAAAGGTAGGTAAAATGAGGACCCAGATTGTGGGGGCAATAAGATGACTTTGTATAAATATACAAAAGTAGGAAGGCTATTGCTTAACGCATTGTAAGCTGTCCTGAGTCTCCGGAGAAGGGCAGCATACAAATTAAAGCAAAAAAAAAAAAAAAGATTCAGATTCATAGTTACTAACTGAATGTTAATATTTTTGTATGGTAGAACTACCAGATTATATTTCTTTAGTATATTAATTGGTTAAAATGCTTAAGTTATCTTTTAAATTTATAATTTGTAAATGAATGAATAAAATTAAGTTGTAATTAGTTAACTACACTATATAAATGACCAGAACTGTAAAATAGGTGCATTACAGGAGATAGAATGAGAAAAAAAAGAAAGAAAATTTTGTAATATGCATTTTTAAATATTTTAAATATTTAAATTTTTTAAATATTACTCTATGAATTACATTGTGATATTCAAATTATTATTTTAAGGTGTTTTATTTTTTTTTCTTCCTGCAAAATCTTTTGCTGGATTTTATTTAAGGGATGACTTATTAACAGCGGTGGAAGTGTTATTTGATTGCTATAGGAAGTATGGTGGGCTGCCTAGACTTCATGAAATCTTATGTGGATTAATAGAGAAGGGAGACACCGAAACAGTGAAGAAAGGTTAGTCGCTTCTGTTTTCTCCTGTTGTTTCAGGGTGCAATTTTTTTTTACCAAATAAACTGTTGGAAAGGTTTGTTCAAATAAGGAGGTTCAAATAATATTCTATAATAATAGGACACAGTATTTTTAAACAAGTTATCATAGCTGTGCTACATGTTACATAGCTTTTCTTTGTTGTAAAATAATTGATATATGTAATTTTGAATTGGATGGTGACCATTTAGACATAGCTTAATTTTGTGATTTTCTAGAGATGATTGTTTTATTTCACCAATATAAGAGATCTGTAAATGACATTGAACAAAAAATTACAACTGACCATATAACTTACTTTATTTCTTTAATGTTCCTTGTTAATATTAGCCTAATGGGTCTTTTAAATAAATCTTACAGTTTTTGACTTTCTCACCGAAGAGAAAAAACAGATGGGAATGATGTTTGATCTCTTCTTTGCCTTTCTGGCAACTGGCAAATACAAAGAAGCCAAGAAGATCATTGAGGTGAGAGTATATCTAAAGTAGCCTAATCTCTTATAGCTATTTAGTGTTAATTGGAATATATTTAAATTTTTTAGCCATTAATTAGTGTTGTTGTAATTAACATTAAATAGAGCTCAAATCTAATCACATATGAGTGGTAGAAAGCCAAGGGAGATCTTGGGCAGGTTTTTAAAATATGTATAATTATGTTTAGAAATGAAATAATCTCCTGTATATTCAAATTGTTTTTTTTTTTAATTTTGTCAAATTTCCTATTAAATATCCACATAATATTTGCATATAAATCTTATATTGTGAAGCAAATTAAACCAGCATTCCTGGGTGTAAAGTTGCTAATCCTCTTTTCTAACAAATTCTTTGTTGTTTAAAGCACTGGAATTTAATTTGCTGCAGACTATACTTAGATTTATTTGTACTGCTTGTTTAAGAGTTAATCAGCCAAACAGCAGTGTCTGCTGTAGCCTGATCTTTCATTTAGCACTTCTTTTTCTCTTACTATAGTAAGAAGCTTATAGAGAGTGGAAGGTGTGAGGGACTGAATTTGGAGTTACTGTCTCTGCATTTGGGAAAAGTAGATGTAGCCAAGGGAGAAACATTTCCCACTTCTGTCAAGCCTTCACTTACACTTTATCCAGAAGCCTCCAAGCAGATATGGCAGATCCCTTTGATAATTGAGCCAGCCCTGGCATTTTTGAGAACATGCCGATGTCCACAGGCAGTCTCATCCCACCTGGGCCCTTAGCTTAAAAAAGCAAATACTAAGAGTGAGAAAAGGGGTGTAGGAAGAAACATGATAAGCAAAGGCAATTGTTCACTTTGTCAACTTTAAGATTTGTGGACTTCAATTCCCTAGTCAGCATAGTCTAATCTTAAAATTGCCAAGGTTGAACATCCCTGAGCAAAGGCATACAGGCAAAGGTGACATTTAGGTAGTGGCTGCTACAGTATGACAAGCAGGCAAAAGGACTATCATTTTACTCCCAGGCCCACAAGCTATAATGAACAGCATGTCCCTGTTCTGCTTGGAACTTTGTGCAACCATAGTAGCAACCAAAAAAGGAGCAATCACATTGAAACAGCACCTCATTCCTATTAGCACAAGAACTTTTGTGGGGGGGGGCAGTTTTATGCTACTTTATAGACTTTGAGGCTTTCATTTGAATTGAGTATTTAAAAGACTGAGAATAAAATTGTCTTGAGTATGAAAGACATATTTAGGTGATGGCAATCCTTTGTAAGTTCTAGAAGGATGGAGGTGACCCAGAGCAATATCCTGTTGGGGAAAGTGTATATTGAAGTAAAACATTGGATAGAGTTTTGCTATGCTGTGATAATGTGTCCAGATCTATGTAGAACTAGTATATTTATCTAGTTTTCATTGAAATTTTACTTCTTGAAATGGGCCAAATCAATTGCATTTTTCCTTGCCTTCAACTCAATATTCATTTACTACTTGCACATTAGTGAGAGCACAGGTGAGACATTAATCTTTGGAAAATGTGAAATTTAATTTTGCTTCAAACAGGAAAAAACCTCCAAGGAATATTTTTAATTATAATGTGGTTTGTAAATAATTGCACAGAAAGAACTCATGAATTTATCTAAATTAATGTTAATTTTACCCAGCTACACTATCTGATTGACAAGTTTAGTTTTGAATTGTCAAAAAAGTTACAAATTAAAGGATTGATGAAAATTTAATCTATCTTTTAAGATAGGTAAGGGGATTATTTCCCTTCTCTCAATTTATGATAGGGACAAAATGAAAGATCATTTTTCCTGGGTTTTAAAATTTTACTTCTCTAACCTTGATCGTTATATATTATTTTGATTAACAGAAGCTAAGAAGCTAAGAAGCAGCAATGAAACATATACTTGCCCTCATATCAGGGGTGGGTTCTACTTACCTTTACTACCGGTTTGCAATGGGATCACGAAGATATCTCTGTGGTCATGTTGCCAGCATGACTAAACGTCAAAGGCGCACGGAACACTGTTACCTTCCCACCGAAGGTGGTCCCTATTTTTCTACTGGCATTTTTTACATGCTTTTGAACTGCTAGGTTGGCAGAAGTTGGGACAAGTAACGGGAGGTCACCCCGTTACGCAGCACTAGGGATTTGAACCATTGAACTGCTGACCTTTCGATCAACAAGCTCAGTGTCTGAGCCACCGTGTCATATAAATATAATAAACAAATAAACAAATGACATGCCAGTGAATATGTTGCTCTTTCGATAAAATAATTAAAATGCTTATTCTCTCTTTTTGTCAGTTTCTCTTATAAAATATACAACAGCAATAAAGTAGATGCTCCCTTAGTAATTATAAAAGCATCTATAGGTAGGTTGGCAGAGATTAACACAATAGCAGAGACGTAAATGTGACATAATACAGAAAAATATACTTTTGACCCATTAGAAAATAAATATGTCTGAAAATTGCAACAAATGACTAAAAAGTAAAACTATAGGTGAGAAGGAAACGCTATACAATTATATTTAGCTTTATAATTTCTATTGGAGTGATTAACAACTTTAAAAACACAAAATTTATTAAAATGGAATACATAATTATAATCCACAATAAAGTATAGATAAATGTTAAATTGAAATGTTAAACTCATTTTTGACAATGCAGTAGGATGGTTAGAGATAAACTGCCAGTACAGACTACTGTGGCAGTCCAAGAGATTTAGTTAATCTGACCTAGATGTTTTTTTAATAATTGAGAACACGGTATATGTGAAAACACTTCTCCATTTCAAAATGAAATGCAAGAACATCCATAGTATAAATTCAGTGATTGGTGCAGAATAATTTCTTAAGAGAAAAGGATTTGCTACATACACTTTTTCAGCTTTTAAAGCTGTTTAGATAATTGGCATTTGGAGCATAAGTAATATTGAAAGTTGGAGGTGAAAGCTGAATCTGATTTTTGCCATATCACAAAGGGGATTATCTGCAATTTCAAGTGATACAGTACTTCTGTATAATGTCGATGGGCATAGTGTGTAAAATATTAATTTTATAGTTCTTGCTTGGTTATTTTGCCTTGTATATTCTCACCAAATTGATTCAGTATGAAATAAAAGTGATGATTGAACAAGCTCTTTTTCTTGTACTGCTTGCAAGTATAAAGTGAACTATAAAATAATATGTAAAGATTTTTTGTTGATTGTATTTGTCTGATAATCATATTTTATTCTCTTTTGAATATATGAGAAGAAAATTATCTTTCCAAAATTTTACTATTTCAGTGTTACTATGGCATTGTTTTAGAAGTTTGGCTACTTACATTATTCAATTTTTTACCTATTAGATGTTAAATATCATACACAAATAATATTACTTAGTAGAATAGGAATTTAGCAGTAACAGATGGGTTTACAGAGTATTCTGAAGCAGTTGGCTGCAGAATATTCCTCATGCTTACAGAGTCCCTTGGGAGTTGGGCGGCATAGAAATGCGTTAAATTAAATTAATTAAATTAAATTAAATTAAATTAAATTAAATTAAATTAAATTAAAAGCACCCAGTAATAACATGGGCTACTGGCTAGTAGGTTACTAAAGGAAATCTGTTTTTGAAATATATATATTTCTGCTATAATAAGAATAGGATGGTTACTTAGACCTATATATCTTTTCATTGTCAGTGATTATTGTGAAGTGACTGTCAGGAAGGCAATTGTGCAGGAAAAAAAGTTTGGAGTTGCATTGGAGAATTCTAGATGCCTGACTTGCATTGTCAAAATACAATATTTTTATTTTATTTATTTATATCCCTCCTTTATTATATACTCCCTATACCCAAATCTCCTTTTTATATCCAGTGAATCAGAGGCATCTGCCTGAGCCACTTCCAAATATTACCTTGTTTCCCAAGACTTAAAAAATGTTTCAGCCCACTTTGCCTATATAGGTAGTCCTGAATTTATGACCACAATTCAGCCGAAAATTTCTGTTGCTAAGCAAGACAGTTATAAAGTGAGTTTTGTGTTCTAACAAATTATCTTATTTTAAGTGAATCTTATCGATAAATAGGTCTATACAAAATTAAAGTCTGTAATAGCAATTAAAGTAATCAGCATCAGTAGACTAAGACATAAACAATAGGTACAAAAAGTCTATTTATTCTTCAAGACAGAATGTCTTTCAAGCACTTGAAAGTATAGTATTTATATATATATTCTACCTTGGAATGTCATGTTAAAAACATAATTCTATTGATATCATAAACTTTATTCTAAAAAATAAATTTTGTTTTTGCTATTTTAGGATAAGTAAGAATTTTTTACTATAGAGCTCAGTGCGGGTTCAATTGGCATTTGCCTTTTAGGGAACCAAATTACAAATTCAGGTTAATAATTTGTTTTGAAGAAGTTATCCTTTGAAAACAAGTACTTACTGATTTTGAAATCTTCTTTTACAGACACCTGGCCTAAGAGCAAAATCAGAAAGAATGGAATGGTTTGCAAACAAATGTATTGCAAATAATAATGTATGTATACTATTAATTTTGGTTCGTGTATATTATTGATTCAGTAGAATTCTATCACATTACTATCAAATCATTCGTATCCAAGGACAAATAGATTGCTTTCTGCAGTGATCTATGAATAGTATTTAATCCAGTTTAAAGATGGCAGTATTATAATTGCTCTGTATTATACAGTATTATAATGTGTGGAGAATTCTGGGAGTTGAGGTCCACACGTCTTAAAGTTGTCAGGATTGAGAGATGTTGCTATAGATAATCTTTAATCTTTATTTTCCCCCATTCTTCTCATCCTTTACATGAATTGTGACTGTTTCTGGTCAATAGCTAGTTCAGAATAATGAAATTGGAGAAGGAAATTTAGTCCACCTTGTCTAATTTCCTGCTGAGTGCAAGAATCCCATAGAAGTTTAAATTTAACTTTACTTTATTGTCATTGCACCCCTTACAACGAAATTAAATGCCATCTTCAGTGTACATCATACGTAAGAAAACTATAAAAAAAAAAACCAACATATTTTTCACATTCTACACAATTGAATTGAAAACTCTGATACTGCATTAATATTGCACTATACAGTAGAATTTAACATAGTTACTGCTCTGGGATAGAAGCTGTTTTTCAGCCCATTTGTCCTTGTTTTTATTGTCCTGTACCATCTGCCAGATGGCAATAGTTCAGAAAAAGGGTGCTTTGGATGAGATGGATCTTAGTTTTGAACTTTCCTAAGGCAGCAGGAGCTATAAAGCTCTTCCAAGGAGGAGAAAGGGCAACCAATGATCCTCTGGGGCAATGATGTTAACCTTCTGGAGCGCTGACCTATCTGTCACTGTGCAATTAGCAAACCATACACAGGTGCAGTAAGTTAAGATATTCTCTATAGTGCAGCAATAGAAGGTCACCAGCAGTTTTTCATTCAGTTGTTTCCTGAGAAATCTCAAGTAGTATAATCTCTGCTGGGCCCTTTTGACCAGTGCTGCAATGTCAGCGCCCCAGGTCAGGTCCTCTTTTATGATAACACCCATGAACTTAAAACTGGCCACTTGCTCCACTCAGTCTCCATTGATAGTTGTTGCATCTGCAATGCTTAACGTGGAATGGTCAAGTACTTGTAGGATAAATAGAAACACCACCTAAATTATCTATATCTTGAACTTAGTTGCAAAATTATTAAGTCCTTAGGCAGCATCATTTGTTCCAATATGATTAACTATCAGTGTACATGATAAGATACTGATATTTTTTGGTCACATCCCTGATCCTTGTTTCTAGCAGTCAGGACACTTCGAAAGCCAGTGAGTCCTGTCAGTATATGCTTATTTCAGTTCCTTGCAATAGTTAATCACCAGCTACCATGACTTTTCTCTTGGTCTTCAAGTTGCATCCATTGTGTCCTTTAAGGATCTGCCATCTTGTTCTTTTATGCATTGTTTCTTTTTCTTCTTTTGAGCACTCAGAACTTTATTCACCTGTAAATCTGAAAACTATTTATGAATTCCAGTAGTGCTTACTATTTTCTGGGTTTCTTCCCAGTAGGTGTTATGCTCTTCTATTGCTATCTTCCAGTTAGACTTGTGTTATTGATAGAGAATTACTTCCGCAGTTAGTTTTTGTTAGAAGAGCTTCTCAAAAAATTTCATTCTTGTTAGCTGAAGCTCCATTTTTTTCCCTTCAATGTTTCTCAAATATTCATACGTTATTTTCAGGCAGGAAAATAAACATGTTAGAAACATTGTCACCATTATAGGTTTTCTCTATTCATCTTCATTTGTTTAATTTTTTCCATTTTTTTCCTCTTCTGTTCAATCATGTTTGATTCTCAGAGACTGTATGGACAAGTCCCTACAGTTTTCTTGGCAAGATTTTCCAGAAGTGTGGTTTGTATTTTCTCTTTCTGATAGCTGAAAGAATGTGACTAGTGTAAGTTCATCCAGCAAGCTTTATACCTAAAGTGGGAGTAGAACTCACTTTTTTCCAGTTTCTAGCATGATGCCTGAACCACTACACCAAACTGGCTCTTTTCATCTTTAAGGGAACTACTAATAATAGAACTTGTATTCTTCCTATTCTCCTGTCAGGCTTTCATTTTAATCAAATACAAATTCTTGCCTTAAGAGAAAATGTGCTGGGACTATCACTTAAACTCCCCAGAAAAACTTGTTAGCTCATTCGGAGAAACTCAAATCTGGAGATTGGCTGGAATAAACCTAGAATAAATCCTCTTGCAATTGTTGCTTATTTTGCAGGAAGCAATCATTCAATAATTCTTGCTGAGTAATTAGAAGCTCTTGATATTGGACTATCGAGAGATTATAATAGGATAATTATCCTTTCATCTCCAAAACTCAATGGACAGTCCTTCAGGACATACAACTGCTCTGATCACTCTCCTCTCTTTCCATTTTTGCAAAAACCTGTTAGTTCATACAGTTAATGACCTATTAGTATCCCTGCTGCAAAACCCCAGCCAAAGAGAAGCACACTTATCTCCCTTTATCCTTTTGGAGAGTTTACATGATTCAGTTTTTGGGAAGCAGCTTGCTTCTCCTTTCTTCCTTCAAATTCTTTGCCCCTGGTTGATTCCTCTGATAGATAACAAGAATAGCCACAAGTGATGCCTCTTGTATCTTTCAAAAAAGCCCAATAAAGTGCTTTTTCTTATACCTCACAATGTGTAGAAGTGAGGAAAAAATGGGCACTATAGGCTGTGTGAACTATAGTACTGATAAGTTTAAGAACTCAAACATTATGCTATCCATATTTTTAAAAAGTGCTATCAACAAGGCGAATAGCTTTCCAGATAAACCTACATATATATTTAGACATTGAAGAGGTTGCTGGCATGTTAGACCAAAAGGCAAATGAAAGTGGTTTCATACTAAAAGAGAATATTTGAGGGGCAAATATATGAATACTATTAATGCAAATATATGGAAATTGCTGTGTTAGATATATTTATGTAATAAGATGTTTGAAATATCTGTACATGTTTTGAATATTTTTATAGTTCTTTTTGTTTACACATATTCTAAGAATTCATAGATTATGAAAATTATTACTAAATCATTGGTCCATGTTTTGAAAATATGTGATTCATTCAATGTTACTTTCCTATTAATCAGGCCTTCACACCTTTGTCAACATAGATCATATGGAAAGTTGTATAATTGCCCAGTGTAAACAGAAAAAAATATGAATATTATAATATATATATTCTATTTTTATTTTAAAGGGTGAGAGCCTGGAAGCCATGGTAACACTGACTCAAAACCTCTTTGATTGTGATAGAGATCAGATGTATTATTCTCTGTTATTATTATGCCGTAAGTAAAGTGACCAGTTTTATTTTGTTTCATAGGCTAGACTTATCTGTCGTAATTGCTAAGAATTCCCCAAAAAGCTAATGCAACTGTGTAGTAGCATGAAAAAATAGATATGTATCCTTATGATCAGCTAATTAAAAATAAAATGTAGAAACTACCAAGGAGGTTAGGTGCGTAGAACTTCCATATACCAGACAAGACTAAATATTAATGTCATCCAATATTGCATGTTCTGAAAGGTTTCAAATCTCAGGAATAAGTATTTCCTACCAGTTCTTAACTGGAAAAGACACCCCCCACCACCCCCAGATTCTGTTGCAGGTTCTGGTTTAAATATCTTGGCATAACACTACTTTTCCTTCTTGCTGACCAATGCTCATATATTCTATTTTAAAAAAACACCACAAGAAAAATTATGTGGCATTTTTGCATTCAATTCAACAACTTGTCCATGGGTGAAATATTCAGTATGTTTGGGCTGCATTCCAATTTACCAGTTGGTTTCTTTCTTTCAGTTCTAAAGTATTAACTTGAATAGGGAAACATTCTACAGTTGGCTTACTTTGGTTGAATGATAATTGAAGGTTTTTGTAAACTACCTATTTTCTTCTGCATAGGTGGTATTTATCTCTTGAGGAGTTTTTTAAAGAAAGTTGCCATTTCCCATCATTCTGTAGTACTAAACCATGTTTCAGAAATTCAAGAAGTGTCTGTGTAATTTCTCCCTTTACTTTGAACTGTCTTGTTTTGCTGTCTGCAAAAGAATTTGAAAAAATGTTCCTCTTTGCTTTGTACATAATTGCTTTCAATAGAAGATAGCCAAATACACTTGCATTCTTCCAAGCCTTTCATAATTTTACCATTACGTAGGCAACTTGTTAAGCTTTAGAGGAAAATGCTATAAAATTGAGAGCCTCATAGCACATTCAACTCAGGGAGATTTAAATTTGGCAGACATGTTAAATAGCTGAAATTATTATTTTGAGAAAAAATCAGAAGTTCATATGTATTTGTACTGTCAAACAGCTTTACAGCTTTTATATATATGCTTTTAAGAATGTGTATGTTACTGTTCAAAGCTGGAGCAGTATAGCCTCACATTGGAAATTCTATTAAAACTAGGGGTAGTCACAAAGGTGAAAATGTGTTCTGGTTAAAACCCAAAGCAAATTATTTTTTTAGAAGTTCTACTGAACCTTTTCAGAGAAGCTATAGTTTAGCCGAAACAGAACCCTGAACATTTTGGCTGTTTGGGTGATTTGGACAAAACAAATTCCAGAAGATTTGACAGGACATGTAAGGCAAGGCTGAGACATATCACCCCCATCCCCACTTCACATTAGAATAGTGGCATATCCAAACCCCCCCCCCCCAACACACACACTTCCTTCTTTGTTTTCCCTTGGCTGCTTCTGCCACCTTGCAGTGGTATGTATCCCACCTGCATCTTCTCTCAATCTTCATGAAACAGCAAATGTCCAGTCATCTGCAACAAAACAACCCCATTTCATTCAGTGTCTGGACCAAATCATCAAAATCAGCTGTTCCATACATGGGCCAATTTATGCATCCCCCCCCCTGAAAATTTTGAGTGGCCTGCATTTTGGATCACAAAATTGACTGGGAAACTCAGAAATTGACTAGTGGCCATGGTGTCTGCTAATTGGCTCCCAGGTCACAGGAAAAATGGCCCAGAAAATATTTATATTTTATTTTTTAAAAACAATTTTCCAAAGTAAATTGTGGAATGGCGAGGGATGGAAAAAGTTTGAACCTTTGGATGTCTGTTATTGTACTGATACAGATTGATACCTTTACCCATTACTTCAATGTCAGATGGGAAAAGCTTCTTATTAGAACTTAAATATGAATGCTGAAAGCTTTTCTTTCATTGCCAGGACTCTCTCCTGTTTGCATAGGTCAGTTACCCTTGTAAATCGACTTTTTTGCTGCAGCAGATTAACCCACTTCTCCCTCCACAGCTCTGCTTTAGATGGTTTACTATTGGCTTACTATTCAGCAGAAAATAAGCAAAAAGGGGTCAGAATTTCAATTTAAATAAAGAAACATAGCATTGGGCTTCAAAGCATATTTCCCCCCCAGTAAGAGGTTGTTCTCTTCTTCCCAATAGGAATTTCCTCCCTTATACTGACAATATGCCTATCAGGGAGAAATATAAATTTTATGAAAAACTTCTCCAGTCAGCAAAAATAAAAGGCACAAACAATTTCTCTATTCAAATGAAAAGAACAGTTTTTTTCTTAGAAGATAATATTAACGTGTTCCTTAATGCTTTATATTTGGTAATTAATTATAATCCTTCGTCATAGAAATGAAAGAAAATAGATCCAGGAGCATCCTTGTCTGCCAACTGTATTTAGGATTTATGCTGGTAGTTTAAGAAGGGTATTTTATATACTTAGTGTTGTATGAATAATAATAATAATAAAAAAGAACAAAACAACTGCATTTCTTTTGTGATCCTAGAGGAGGAACACATCCCTTTGCAGGAGTGAGTACATAAAAGTACAAACAAACTTATCAATTATGACACTTTGTCAAACTTTGCTTAAGCACTTATTCAACATCAACAACAATTGTTTTGTTTCCACTCATAGAAGGATCTTTTGGATCCAGCAAAGAGCTTAAATTAATTTAACAAAACAGCATCTCCAAATGATATAACCAGAACAGAATATTAATGAAGTTTCACTTAATACAACATGATCTGACTTTTAATTCTTACTGTTATGGATAGTCAAATTTCCAAAGTAAATATAAATAGAGTTGAAACAAGTTTTTGAAATAAAATCTTCTTTCCCTTGGTAAACAGCGGTGTTCCCATTATTGTTTCATAAAATGTGAAGCAGTAAGGAAAAAAAGTACTTTTTATTTTAGCTTACTAGTTTTAATGGAGATTTTGCTAAAATATTTGAAACTTGAAATCTTTGTTTTTTGTGGCAATATGTTAAAATACATTTATCAACAGTACATATGTGTAATTGTTTTCTCTTTTCTTCTTTCAGGGAAAAATAATGATTTGGAAAAGGCTGAATCTGTTTGGACTAAAATGCAGGAAGAAAACATTGTTCCCCGTTCAAGAACTTTGCATTTGCTAGGACATATTTTTAAAGCTAATAATCAGAAAATTCCATTTACTGTACCTGAGGTAAATTAGATTCAGTGTTTTATGATGAAATAGCTACATTAGAATAATTATTTTTAATTAGATAATAAGTGGGTATTATGTATTTAGAAAAATAAAGACACATTTGTTTCTTTTTAAGAATTGGTATGAAAGCGATGATGATTCTGCAGCTGTTGGCTTGTCACCACTTCCTCAGCAAATATATCAAGTTAATGAAAAAATAGACCAATTTTGTAAAAATGGTAACCCCAAAGGTAAATCAGTTTTGGCTTCTTAAATCCTTGTTGAAGATATTAACTTTTTCTGTATAGTCACAGTTGATGTTCTATGAACATACAATGTAACTGCAACTGAAAACTTTAGTGCCAGAATATTTACATATATGTGTTACCTGAATCTACTGTACCACATTTTTATAAGACTTGATTACTGTTCTAATTTTGTTTCTATTTTGATTACAAAATCTGACAAGATACCAGTATCTTGTTACAGTATACTGAGATGATAGTATATTAAGATGGGAAAAATGCCACCCCAGAACAAGAGCATAACAGGATAGAAATACTCTAGAATAGAGATTGTGAGGCTATAGTTTCTCTTGCTATATCTGTCTTTTCTGGAGTCTGTTTCCTGTAGACAAAACAGTTAATTCATTGCCCCTAAGCATAAGGAATTTGGAAGGGATATGAGTTAATTGGCCATGATGGATCTTTTCTGGGCAGACATTACCCCAAATAGCCTAGAATTTTGAGCTAGATGAATGCCATCTACTATGGCCACCAGAGGGCAGTTATGGCTGAAGAACTGGTACAGAGATTCTGTCTGCTTTGGGCCCATTCAAGAATGGAAAATTGTTTGGAGAAGCCCTAGAGATTTAAGAAAAGAAAAACTATATCCCTATCCAACAAAAGTTATGAAAGTAAGGATAGTAGGACTTCAAGTTATTTCTGTCATTCCTTTAGTTCTTACAATTCTAGTTCCTACTATTCAAAACATGCTGGGAGAAGAGAGACTTCTGAACAAGCCCCAGCAGCTCCAGCAAGAGTGAACATTGTTTTTCCCCACCCAGCAAAGAGGAGGACCAAAAATGGGTGCCTTAGCCTTAGTTACCTAAATTTGAAAGGTCTTTAGAATCACATGACAATCTACATATATTCATTATCATGGGAAAGAATCCATTCCTTCTCTCTCCAACGGATATTTTAATTGATTTTAAATTGGGTTTGTTTTAAATTGCGGCCAAAAATATTTAATTATTTTAAACTGCTTTTAAATTTTGTATGTCCTGTTTTTATTTTGGCTGTTCACCGCCCTGAGTCCTATTGGAGAAGGGCGGTATACAAATTGAAACAAATTAAATAAATAAATAAATAAATAAATAAATATACTTCCCTTTCCAGGTGGATGAAATCTTGTATGAAACAAGAGTATGAGCTATTTATTGAGTTGTCACATAATCATGATCTCCTTTATTAAATACCACCAACTTAACCTATCCACTTTAGTCAGAGATATACAGAGAGTGCTGCACAAAGTAGTTCCTATACCAGTGATGGCTAACCTTTTTCCCATCGTGTGCCAAAAGCGAGAGTTGCGCAGGGGAGTCGCACACGTGCCCATGCCCATAATGCAGTGTGCCATGTGCATGCACCCCCCCTGTGCTCCCCCCGCTTTTGGCACATGATGGCACAGTGGGCCTTGTAGGCCCGTTTTTCGCCCTCTCCAGGCTGTTTCCCAACTTCTGGTGGGCCCGGAAGATCCAAAAATCAGCTGGCCAGTACGCATATACATTCCGGAGCTGAGCTAGGGCAACGTTTGTGTGTCCACTGATATGGCTCCGCATGCCACTTGTGCGCGCTCACACCCATAATGCAATGTGCCTCACGCATGCGCACACGCCCCCCTGTGCTCCTCCCCGCTTTTGGCACATGATGGCACAGTAGGCCCAGTTTTTGCCCTCCCCAGGCTCCAGAGACTCTTGGAGCCTGGGGACAGCAAAAACAGCCTTGCCCCCCCACCCCCACCCGGAGGCCCTCTGGAAGCTGGAAACGGCCCATTTCCCAACTTCCGGTCCCAGTCCGTTTCCGGTCTCCCGAGGGCCTCTGGGGGTGGGAAAGGCCGTTTTTGCCCTCCCCAGCCTCCTAGAAAAGCTTTGGAGCCTGGAGAGAGCAAAAAACAGGCCTTCCAGTCCCACCAGAAGTCGGCAAATGGGGTGTTTCTGGCCTCCAGATGGCCTCCAAGGGGTGGGGAAGGCCGTTTTCACCCTCCCCAGGCTCCCAGAAAGCCTCTGGAGGCCAGAAACAGCATGTTTCCTGACTTCTGGTGGGCCTGGAAAGCTTGAAAATCAGCTGGCCGGTGTGCACATGCGTGCTGGAGCTGAGCTAGGACAATGCTTCCGTGTCCACTGATATGGCACGTGTGCCATAGGTTCGCCATCACAGTCCTATACAATTAAGCTCCTTTAATAAAAGATAAGCCCTCACAAACAGTTTGTTTGTTCCACTATAAAATGATTTGACTCTGTTGTAGGAAAGCAATATGTTGGTCTTATCATGAAAGATCATTTTCTGCAATGGAGACAGAACAGCCAGCTACCCTTCAGCTACTTTTATTGAGTATCAAGAGGGAGAGAAATGTCTCAGGGCCTATCTATACCTGCAGCCAATTTAACATAGTTTAGTCACATATATTTATTCCTAATTTCTAAAGTGTTCTTTGGAAGGAGGAATGCTTGGAGTGGAATTGGCATATTAGACCCATTTCCTCTTACTCAGTATAATTGGCTAGGCTTTTTTTTTTAATACTAGAGTAATTATGTTGTTGCTAATGAGATATTAAGTATCCACACCTGGAATACTGCATCCAGTTTTGGTCACACTACATTACAAAAAAGATGTTGAGACTTTGGAAAAAGTGCAAAGAAGAGCAACTAAGATGATTAAAGGCCTGGAGACTAAAACATATGAAGACCGGTTGCAGGATTTGGTGTGGCTAATCTATTGAAAAGAAGGACTGTGGGGGGAGGGGGGACACACATGATAGCAGTATTCCAGTATTTGAAAGTCTATGGCGATTCTCAGTCATCAAGATCAGGATTGTCGCAAGGGTGCTTTTTTTCAGCTGTTCATTTGCATTCTTTTAGAAAGTCATTAAACACAGCCATTTTTTGTTGTTTTTTTAAATCTTAAAAGAATGCAAATGACCAGCTGTCTGCAAGCAATATAAATCCTTCCATTCCCCACCATTCAGACAGAGCTGAAGAAACTTTTTGGATGAGAAGCAAAATGTCTTCAAAGAAAAACCAAAAAGTCCAGTTGCCTTTGGGACAGTATTTGAGAGGTTGCCACAAACAGGAGGGGGTAAACTTATTTTCCAAACCACCAGAGGGTAGGACAAGATACAATGGATGGAAACTAATCAAGGAGAGAAGCAACCTGTAATTGAGGAGAACCTTCCTAACACTGAGGACAGTTAACCAGTGGAACAACTTGCCTTCAGAAGTTGTGGGTGCTTAATCACTGGAGGTTTTTAAGAGACTGGATAGTCAGTTGTCTGAAATGGTATAGGGCCGTGATGGCGAACCTATGGCACACGTGCCATAGGTGGCACATGGAGCCATATTGGTCGGCACGCGAGCGTTGCCCTAGCTCAGCTCCAGCACGCATGCATGCGCTGGCCAGCTGATTTTCAAGCCTTCTGGGCCCACCGGAAGTCAGCAAATGGGCTGTTTCTGGCCTCTGAAGGGCCTTCGGGGGGGGAGCTGTTTTCACCTTTCCCAGACTCCTAGAAAGCCTCTGGAGCCTGGGGAGGGTGAAAAATGAGTCTACCGGGTCCACCGTGCCATCACATGCCAAAAGCGGGAGGAGCACACGGGGGGGGTGTTTCACGCGTGCATGAGCAATGGGGCAGGGCGCATAGAATTATGGGTGTGGGCACACACGCATGTGACCGCCCCGCACTCCCCCCGCTTTTGGCATGCGATGGCAAAAAGGTTAGTCATCACTGGTATAGGGTCTCCTGCTTGAGCAGGGGGTTTTGATTAGAAGACCTCCAAGGTCCCTTCCAGTTCTATTTTGATTGATTAATTCCAGGAAACGGGCCAGCTAGCCTGCAACAGATATTCTTCAACTTGTTGGGTTCATGTTTTTAATTTAATCTTGACTATCAGTGATCAAATAATACTATTTTCTTAAGTAAAGCTATCAAGACTTATCTTGTAGTACTGTCCTACAATTGTATGTTTTGTGTGTATGTGTTTCATTTCATTGAATGCAATAACCTAGCTTTAACATGTAATACTTGGTATTTTAGCTACAGTAATCTAGATACTAAAATCATTGTAAACATAACAAAGAACAAAATTAATGAATATTGATCTAAAGCGGTGTGTAAATTGTTACACACTCTTGTTTCAATGCAAAATATTATGAACATATTCTTAATCACTGCAACATTCACCGAATTTCATGATATCTTTTTTACCTTTAAGAATAACATAATATAAGATTTGCATCTATTTAGTCAGTATATATAGTGTAATTTTTCAAATTCTGTCTCACTTATTCTTCATTCAGTTTTCTGGATATATTTTCAGACATAAGCAAAATTCCACGGCATATATAAGCTCTTTCATGTATAATATTTTATTCTAAGGATTGAAATGACTTTCTAATGTAAACTGTTGAATAGTGGGTATTTCCAGATATGTAACATGTATTTTTAAAGCAGATTAATGTTTTGGTGGGACATTCACATCTTAATCTTGTTCAGAAAAGTAAATGATTGAAAAGAATACTTCCCTTTTCCTCCTTAGCTTCCTCTTCTTAATAATGTCTTTTGACTGTCAATTATTGTGAATGTGTAAAATAAAACCATTAATCAGTCAGATAAATGCTGTTGTAATATACTTATAAATGGTATGTTTCTGTGTAAACCTTGTTGTAAGCAAATAATTCCGTCTCTCAAAAGTAGAAATACTGCTAACATTTCCAAAAGACTTCTGGGATAAATATTAACCACAAGAATTAGGAATTATCTTAAAATTGAATATAAAGTATTCTTAAATGAGTAGCATTGCAGTGATTTGACAGTGTTTTTGAAAAGGGCTGTTTTGTGACTGGCTAAGACATAACTTGTTTCTCATTGGTGGCAGTAATTCCTCCTCCCCCCTTTTAATATGAAGACAAACTTAAGTTGCTGAAAGTTCAATAGAAATGAGATTTTTATTGGACACTAAAACAGCTCTTAAATGTAGCTTTGAGCTCAGAAAGAAGCAGAGAAACAGATGGAAATTTTACTGTGCCATTTCAATAAACACTGACATATTTATTATTTTTTTAATTCTTTTGCAGAGGCATACAAACTTTTTCTAATGGCAAAGGACGTTGTACTTAATGTCGGTTGTTACAACAATCTTATCAAAGCATTGCTCAGCCATGGTTCTCTTACAGAAGCAATGGAAGTTAAAAAGATGTAAGTCATTTTATGTATGCATCTCTCTTTAGCAGGTATGGGTAATTTTGCGTATACATCATTTCATACCTTGCCTGTTTTTTTAAGGACAATGTCAATGTAATGTACTACACTTTCCATCGTTGAATCAAAGTTGATATTCTGAAGTCATCTTTGTCAATAGTCCATCATGACTGAGTCACACATTTGGTACACTTAACAATTTAACAATGCAGACATTATCAAAACACCAAACCAGAGAACAAATATTGCAAATATTCTCTTGAAAGAATCATATGAATAGGAATAAACATCGTTTAGTGCATCAGACAGCTTTGGTTCATGCATAAAATCCCCAGTGTGGAGTAGAGATCTGAATATGCAACTATGCCACACATTTATTCAGTTGCTTGAATCTCTTAAAAGAACTTTCTTGAAATAAACTTATTAGAGTATGGATTAATTTTATATCGATAGTGAAAAAGAGAGATTAACATACAGAAGATTGTCAGTGGCCATCACATCCAACTGTAATCTGATCCATCACACTATAGAAATAACAATGGTGGGTATCAGCTATAAATATTGAGACTGTTAGAGGAATGAATTATCTTTACAATTAGCTTACATTGTAACCAAGAATGACAGAAAAGTTTTAAATTAGAAGACTGTTGAAAGGGCAGTTTATTAGACTAAATTTATAATAACAAAAACAACAATAATAGAATTAAATAGCTACTAGAAAATAACCTGAGATTTTTATATGTTCAAAAAAATAGAGATTTATCTTAAGTAGTTAATATACAGAAACACAAACTTACCAACAAGTTGACTGACTTTCAGAAAATAACCTGCTAGAAATAAAGATGAACGTGAACAGAAAACAATTAAAGCAAGATTTAAATTGTGAACTAATTAAGATTATACTGAAATTATATAAAATAAAATGATAAAGTAAATTTTAACTTCAGTATTTAACCCTAAAATCTTACCTGTATTTCGCTCTGCTTGGACATGTTGCATAACTAGGAATTAAATGGTTACTAGTAAATAACAGAAGATTCATCATGCTTCAGCTCTACAGTCCTTTCCAGTTGCCCTTCCCAAATGCATGGAATCTTTCTCTTGTACTTTAGCTAATTCTCCTTTAGCATAATTTAGCATTGTGACTCAAATCCAACAAAACTATGTTTAGTCTTTGTTATTATTATCTTTATTCATTTATTTATATCCTGCCTTTATTATTTGTATAAATAACTCAGGATGGCGAACATATTCTTTCCTCTTGCTATTATTTTAAACATGCAAGTAAAAAAAAAAATTGGGTTATGAAAAATAACAAAATAAAAACCATCCATGTTCTCTTCACTGATATTCTAGAGAGAGAGTCAGTATACTTGATTTATATATCTAATGCTCAGCTGAATCATTTTGGAGGCTAAATCATTGCCTCCAAAATGGATTGCAGTATAGATACTAATCCAGTAAATAAAAAACAGAGAAACAAAGAGATTCTCTTAAACAAATATATATTATGTAATGAGAGACTCTTGTATAAAACCTGCTCATCTTGCTACATTTTACATTAATTTTGATACGATATACATATGTTAGGTGTCAAAACAAAGAATTTTCAGGATTGCTTGGTAAATTGCAAATATAAATCACTAGGACTGTTGAATATTTAATAAATTATAGAGAAATAGCTTTTCATCACATTGGCAAAGGTTAACACTTTTGGTGAAAATTTAAGCAGGCTAATCTATCAGAACACAATATACTTTACATAGTCTATTACCAGCAGAGACAAAACATAAAATAAAAAATAATAATAATTTGGTAATCAAAGTGAAATACAATAAGATTGTATATTGGGGAAAATAACATTCCAAGATCAGGTTATTTTGGAAGAGAGTTCTGCCTACCTTACGTAAGGAAGAAATAATAAGTCATTATTTTCTTTTTCCTACCTGTATGGGTAGATATTTTTTAAAAATCAATAATTTCTGATAGATAAATTGGAAATACTGAATGCTAGTGCCTTTATAGAAAAATATTTTATTATTATTATTGTCACCCCAAAGATCTTGATGAAATTTAACTATAGTTCTAAAATAGAAATGTAGAAGTTTTGAAATAAGGGATTAGGACTGCAATAACAGCAACACTTATTTAATTGCACTAAAGATTGGAAGATTGGGGAAAGTAAATCCTTTGTAATATGTCATTTACAGTTCTGTGCATGAGTTTTTGACTTACAGGTTTTGACAGATGGGGCAAAAGAAAAAAAAGAGCAATGAGGGCTTAGGCAGAGATTAAGCGGATTGGTTTGGAAGAGTAAGGAAATCCTGAGGGCCCAGAAGCTGAAAGTGACTGAGAGGAAGGTCATATTATGAATTTAGCGGAGGATTTTCTTGAGATTGGGGAGAATAATTTAGCAATGACTCTGTTTATTTCCTAATCCGCTTAGTTCATGAATTCAGAAAGGTGGGCTCTTCTGTTGTTTCTCACAAGATGATCCCTGTGGTTTAATCTGATTGTTGATACAGCAAATGTCAGCCTTGTATTTACTCCTCTCAGGGGGAATTTTAAGAGTAAAGTCTATATTTAATTATGTGGGGACCATTTAAAGCCATGGACATTAAAATAGAAAAAGGTTTTCTGATCAGCTTGTTCAAAGTTTTTTTCCCCCCCAAAAGGATTTAAATATTAGTAAAGCTAATTTCTTGCAGTTTCTGGTAAGTGAAGTTGTTCATTTTTATTTTGTTTTTGCCTTCTAAATTACAGAATTAATGAATGATGCAATTTAGTTATAGGACCGCAGAGTAATATATAAAGTTTTTTTTAATTCTGCATATGTCTAGATGACAAAAATTTGAAAATTAAATCAACCAAATTATACAGAACTGGTTCATAATATCCCTTTGATTTGTATTTAAAATATACTGTGCTCAATGCAGGAAGAATGGTTTTACATTTTATAATTATGGTGACTGTTTTAAAAAGAAGAACAAAGTATCCCGCTTAGGATACAGCAGAACAATAGTGGGCATGCAGTTATTTTCGTCATGTAATATGTCAGCATTCAAGAATCTGAACCGATTGTTTAAAAAAATCTTGTACTTTGTTTCTTTTGTTGCTCATTTCCAACTTTGTCATCTGTCAGAATGCACAAAAAAATTATCCTTCTATAACCATTGACAGGATAACACAAAAGCTGTCTCCAGGTCGATATTTTGCAGCAATATTTTTAACATACGAACAGTAGTTTTTATAATTTCACCTTGGTGCTCAACCATTTATTATCGTATCAGAAGCATGTCAGTAATTCCTTTCTAAATGTCTGCTTCTTTTAGCGCTGAGAACCACATCAAGGGCTTCGTGCTGAACGATGCTGCCAGCAGCCTCCTCATCTTAACGCAAGTTAGGCGGGATTATTTGAAAGGTATGTCACAATGCTTGACCTTTACGTCACATTAATGCCTCTGCAGATTTTTCTTGTAACGCCCTTCGAATACTTGGATAAAGGAGTCCATTTAGCAAATTACCTGCTTATCAAGCGCCTTTTGTGGTAGCTGAGAGACGTAAATTACTGTACATGCATTTATAATACAGCTTGAATATGAATGTACTTGTCATTTGACCACTTAGTCCAGTTTCCGTTCCATTTAACACAAGATGGGTTTTCTTAAGATGAATCACAGCTCTTCAGACATGCAAAATTTGTGTTCCAGAACGAGAAAAAGTACAGGCTTTCAAATGCGTTAAAATTCACAGCACAATTCATTTTGCTTTGGAAATTAACATACCTTAGAGCATCTGAAACAATTCCCAGCAGTTTCTTCCTGCACAATGTGTTTGTAGCACCAGATATCAAGTGAGTTAAATTGAGTGTTAAATGTGAGTGGCTGTGCACTAAATGTTTATAGTACTTATTTTTTAAAAACTTAATCGAATACTTTTAATAGTTCTCAATGCCAGCAGTAATAAAACATACATTGTCCTTTTGTGCTTTTTGTAAACTTTACTTTGCATGGTAACAGCAGTTTCGGCTAAACAGTGTAAATGCTTGTGAATGCAGTGGTGGACAATTTTACTGTTATTCTATATTCATTTATTTGAATCTAGTTTAGATTCATCTTGAACATCTTCCCTCAGAATCTACTGGTTTTCACATAGCAAGAAGGCCAGTCAGGTTTGGGATCACTGAACTTTCACAAATTACAATTTTATACCACAGTTGTTACGGATTGCTGATGAAAATGTCTTTTGTGTTTTCCATCATATGATTAAATGCATCGTTTCCATATTTTATTTCATTTTTAGTCCTAGTTTAGCAAATAACCTTCTTTAAGGTAGCAGGACTATTGCTAAATCATTTAGTTTCATGAATTCTCTGAAGAATATAACTTAGTTTAAATATATCGGAGTTGGATAACATTATACAGTTCTTGGCTTAATTAAAAGAGTCCTTTAAACTGTACAAGTTCAGAACTCTGATAAGAAGTGCCTGTCCTTTAGTGGTCTATGGTGTGGGAAGAAGTGAAGGTGTCTGAAACAGCACAGAAACAAAGATTATCAGGAGATGAAAAAAATGTAAGAAAAGCTGTGGGTGGCCTGTCCATATTTTGCTTTGGTCCTACTTAAGTTCTGCTTAAGCTCCATGTGGTTCCCAAGTGATTATCCCCAGGGAATCCTTTCATCAGAAATAATTGCCCATCAATCAGCTGCCATGACCCTATAATGCCAGACATGATATCCTGAATCTCAAAGTATTGAGAAGAGTCACTGGGAGAATAGCTTCTCCTCTCTACCTTCCCTTGAGACCAGTACTTAAGCAAAATTTCTAAAGCATAACAAGGCATCTTGCTGTTCTCCCATAATTTGCTTTTTTGGCTTTCTCTTGGACAGCAACTAAAGGAAGCAGTAAAAGATTGCAGACAGATTGGCAGAGACTTCCTGCTTCAAACTATTGAACTTGAACTTCTTTGCTTATATTTGACCTCTGATTTCTACAGATGTGTCTGCTTCCCTTTCCCTTTCCCTTTCCCTTTCCCTTTCCCTTTCCCTTTCCCTTTCCCTTTCCCTTTCCCTTTCTCTTGCTGGATACCTCCTGGCTTGCCCTCAGCAATGGCTAATGAAACACTTGCAAACCTTGAGATCATTTTCTCAGTACTGAGTGCATTAATCCTGTTTCTCTGTGCTGCGCTTTACTTATCTAGCCAATTTTTTATTCTTTAGAGCAGAGCAGGGAAGCTTGTATAAAAACTATAGAACTGAAATTGGAAGTCCAGTGGAATCTGTATTTTAAAAATACTTAATTCGATGTGCTGATATGATCTACCTAGGCTAAGGATGCTCCACTGAAGGTAATTCATGCCTTGATCATTCCCAGATAGCCTACTACAATGTGGGGCTCCACATTGTAGTAGCCTTAAAATTGGATGGATTATTTGTGCCGGGCAAAAAAAACACTAATTGTACAGTCACTGCAGTGGTTTCAAAATTGTCTTCTAGGCCCAAATCAAAGTACTAGTTACTATTTCTAAAGCTCTTTACGGTGCAGTGTGAGAATATGTCAGGCAACACCTTGCTGAAACTGACTCTGACCCCTTCATTCCCCTAAAAGAGAGCCTGTTGCAGGTCCCCATCCTTAGAGGATTTACTGGCATGGGTCCAGCAACAGGCCTCCATTTTATGGAGCACTCTCTCCTGGAGATGGCCTCTAATTTATAGATCTTTCAAAACCTAGCCAGAGAATTGCTGCCTCAGCAGGTGTTTGGCCTTGAGTTAATTTCATACAATAGTGGTGCAATATATTCATTTTGTATTGATTGTTTTTATTGCTTCCATGGGATTTTAATAAGTAATAATCAGAATTTTTAACATGAAAATTAATATATAGCCATTGTAACTAAAATAGGGAGAATTATGACCTTGGTCAATTATACATACACATCAGATCTTAATAAACCGAGTCTAAATTATAGTCATTAAGAAAATAGTCACATTTTTATAGTGAAACCTTGATTTTTCTGGATCTCCATTTAGTGATCTTTAGATGCAACAATTCTTTTTAAAGATTTCATCTCCAATTATTTATCTGAAGCAGCCTAAACAATTTTTTACATCTTTTCTCTAATTATATAATCTATGTTTTTACAAAATGATACAAGTTAGTATAAAAACATCAGTTATATAATGTTACATTACTTCAGTTTGATTTAATAGACATTGATTTAAATGGGAACTGATCCTCCTTATCCCAACTCCAATAAATCAAAGATTTATTGGAAAAATGTTAGTCTTGAGATTCTGGAGATATATATATATATACAATATCATTAAATAGAACGGAAATGGAAATGGGCTGGTCACATAGCAAGAAGAACTAATGGCAGGTGGACGAAGGCAATCATAGAATGAATTCCACTTGATAAAAATTGTCTACAAAAAAGACTTAAACAAGATGGATTGACAACATCAGCAAGTATTGCAGACCCAATTGCAAAAGAAAGCTTAAAACCGTATTGGTTGGAAACATGCGGAAGAGGCCTTTATCCTGCAATGGATAAGACAATGGCTAAAATGATGATATGTATATGTATGTACACATGCACACTTATAGATATACATACACACACACACATACACATATACATATACATATACATACATACATACATATACACACACACACACACACACACAAGATAGTAAAATAAATACATGTTGCTCTTCATCTAATTATCATGTTCTAATATTACCTTTTCATTCTTGGTATCCATATGTGTTTCTGTGTGTATACGTACATACACACATACATGAACCAATTCCTTTTACCTATATCAGTGTGGCTTGTGGGGGACAGAGCATCAGAAGTTTAATTTTCACTGTTAATTATTTAGGATAGGTAAGTAATTGTGGTCAGTGGGAACATTTAGTATTTTGAAAAAATGTTCTGGGTGCTCTAATAAAATAGCTGCTGTACCTGTTCATTATTGATGAGGATGGAGGCATGGCCAGGCACCAAGGATCCACTCACCTGAAGTCAAACTGTTGGGTTGTGTTTTCCTTTACCATATGATGCTCTCTATCACCACAGAATGTTTCTGTTTTCCTGTTTAGATATCACATTAAATTTTCTATGTCTATTATTGTAAGATAAGAATGCAGCTTAACTATAATATGATTAGCTATAAATGTGTTCCATACGCCTTTTCCCAAAAAATTTTGGAAGGAAAGTTGGCAGAGTTTTAAGTTTTCTACTGTTACTGTTAGCTACAGGACCTACACTTAAGACTAAGCAAAACAGATTAGGGTGTTTTGATATATGGTGGAGACTTTCATCATGAAAAATTCGGTAGAATACATAATAAAGTGATGATTTTATTTTTCATGTTGCCATTTTCAATAGCTAATATCAAATGTTGGACTGAAAGTTATTGTAGGTGACCACTACTGATTGTGAGCTAACTGTATACTTAACAGTGAACCCACCACTTTTTATTGTTGAACCCCTCCAAGATGCTAGTGCAGGATATAAATACATCTTGGTGGTTAAAAAAACCCCATTAAAAAAAAGCTTCACAAATCTAGAAAAATGGTGCTTGAGGAGGTAGGGTATGGAAACGGTACTTTTCCTATCTAATATGCATGATGGCTTATAGTGACTGTTAACTATTTAGTGATAAGAAAGTAGTCTTGGAAATGTGGACTTCAAAATCTTACATGCAAGATATACATAACAACATATAATTGCTTTCGGTAAACAGTCTAAAAAAACTATGGTGGGTTGAACAAAAGAATTGGTAAGATTTTTCCTTCTCTCATTAATTAGATTTATGAATATGCAATGTAATATCAAGATCTAATGTTTTGAATAACGTTTCTTTTTTAATCTGTTCAACAGAAGCAATGTCCTCCCTTGATGCACTTCTTAAAAATGGTAGGATACCCAGTCAACTAGCAATTATTCGTCTTGTTCAGGCATTCGCTCAGAAGGGAGATGAAGAGAGTATAAGGGAAATTGAGAAATTAATAGAACCCCTCCATGGGATTCTTAAAGTACCAAAAATGCTTTTCATCAACAACACTGCGTTGGCTCACATCAAAAAGTAGGTAATTCGATAATTGGTACCACTTCTTTGTACTAGTAGGGAAGTAGTGTCACGGTGATCTTGTTGTCTTATCAATAATCTTTTCTTCGTAATAGTTAAATACTTGAATTGGCTGCCATTGAAGATTCTTGCCTAGAAACAATGAATGATGGAATCTGTTTAATAAAATGCAAAAAATGCAGGTTATTGGATAAGTGAACTTTTCCAATAGGCTAATGATATCAAACTCCCCCCCCCCTTTAATTGTGTCCAATTCTTGTAAGACTGCCTGAACAAGTCCTTGCAGTTTTCTTGGCAAGTTTTCTTAGAAGTGGTTTGCCATTGCATCCTTCCTAGGACTGAGTGAAAGTGACTGGCCCAAGGTCACCCAACTGTCTTCATGCAGGAGTAGAATTCTTGGTCTCCCAGGTTCTAGCCTGACAACCGCTACACTAAACTGACTCTCATATCAAACACATACATGTTTATAAAATTCTGTCTACCTGAATGAAACGTTGACGTAAACTAACTCTTGCTAATACTGTAATTCACAGCATAGTGCATACCTGTTTATAGCAGTAAGTTGTACAGGTGTGTTAAAATTGCTTTGCACACCTGTTATAATGCAGAATAATAAAAGATTAGCCTAAAGATTGTGAGTACCTGTATTTCTCACTGAATCTGACGGAACACTGGTAAGGTCACATATTAAGACCTACTTAGTGGCGATAAAAGCGGCATAGTTTAATTACTTTTCCGCTCTTATTGCGTCATCAGAGAATCGTCCGGCCGCCCTGTTCAGGGTGACCCGTTCCCTGCTCCACGCGGGAGCACGGGAGGACCCCTTGGAAGGCAGGGCCGAGGATTTCGACAATATCTGTATGACAAAATCACTCAGATCCAGGGGGATTTGGACTCTGACTGGGTAGATTTGGGCAGGGTGGTGAGGAATAGTCTTGAGAACATTATCTGGGAAGAGTTTGACTCTGTGACCCCTGATGACGTGGACAGGATTCTGGGGAGACTTAGTGCGGCCACATGTTTACTGGATCCGTGTCCCTCCTGGTTAGTACTGGCTTCCCGGGAGGTTACACGAGGCTGGCTCCAGGGAATTATTAACGCTTCGTTGAGTGAGGGTTACTTCCCCATGGCCTTGAAAGAGGCGGTGGTGAGGCCTCTCCTCAAGAAGCCTTCCCTGGACCCGGCAGTATTAGCCAACTATCGTCCTGTCTCCAACCTTCACTTTGTGGCGAAGGTTGTTGAGAGTGTGGTCGCACGACAGTTTCCTCCATCCTTCTAAGGAGAAATAAGTTTTACAAATTCTTAATACCATAGTATCCAAAATCCTTCATGAAAAGCAGTTTAAAAAACTAGGTAGTCTTTTGGAAATGCTTAAAGGACCAATCTTTTCTTTTAAACATCAGTTTAACATCAAGAAAAGTCCAAGGTACACATATAAGGTTGTGTCAGGTAGAAGAACATGGTAACAAACAATCAGTACAAACTTTTTGCCATTTTATAGTCCAGTTATCTTATTTATTTGCTGTAGTCCATTTTTATCAATTCAGACATCATGGCAGCTGTCTCCAGCTCTTTAAAATCAAAGGCACAATAAGTTGTGTTTATTTTTTATGGCTACAGTACTTTCATCATATATTGCCATTATTACACTAGAAAGTAAAAGAATACGTAAAAAAAACCATTAAACCTATCCATGAGTAGGCATAGAAGGACACGAAGGTGCAAATTTCATATATTCATTATGATGCAAATGATGAGGCCAACATAGTTTTGTCAGATATTGTGACATAAATTCTATCCTTTCTGCAATGATATCATGACACAGGTATCTTCATTTTGATATCAGCCTGGTTGTTACAGACACTGGTGAGCATATCACATTTAATATAGTTGTGTCTACATCCAAAAAGGTAACTATGGAAAAGTCAAGAAGTATTTAATAATTATAAACATGCTGTTTTTTCCTGTAATTTTTGTTTCCTGGGGATATTTTTTTAATTTTTACTTCCCCATATTTCAAAGACAACTAACCCATGTGTTATTTTGTTCTGTTACCAAAAAAGTAATGTTATTCAACAATATAAAAGGTTATAGTTCATTTATGAAGGAAATGGCATTAGTGCTGATGTTATGCACTCGGCCATAAATGTGTTTCACTTTGTGTTATAACAGTATCTGCATGAGTGGATTGATAAGTACTTTTAACATTGCTATTCTGTGTAATATTAATGTAGTAATAGAATAAAACATTCATGGTCTTGCTTTATTGGCATATGAACTCTAACGTTAGCAACTTAGCTAATGCAGCTTTTTACTTTCACCAGCAATAACTGCGATGCTGCCACAGAATACATTGAGGAGAAATTCATTTCTAGACAACTGACTGAAGAGGCTAACTTATCCTTTGTATTCAAAAAAGTGATTGAAGACAAAGAAGAAACAGCTTTGGAAAAACGTAAGTTAGTGTAGCAAAAAAAATCCACTGGCTTACAAAAAACTTCAGTAGCTGCTTCTGTAAATCTTTCCTACTTGGTCAGTTCTTGAAGCAAGCAGCATTTTTAAGCCTTATATAGCTCATTTTGTGTTAATTTCAAAAGTAACATCACTTATAATGAAATCTTACCTGCCACAAACAGCCTACATGAATATATTTCAAACTTGACAACTTTAAAATGTTTGGACTTCGGAGCTAGGGAATTCTAGGGGTTGAAGTCCATGCATCCTAGAGTTGCCAAGTTTGAAAAACATTGACTAGGTGATCACCTTTACTACCATACTCTTCGGAGTATGAGACACACTTCCCCCCCCTTTAAAAGAGGGTGGAATTGTTGGTGCGTCTTATACACCAAATACAACCATTTTTGGCCTCCTGAAACCCTGCACCGCGCATCCTGTTTTTGCCAAAAACAGGCCCATTTTTGCAAAAAATGGGATGCGCAGAGGATTTGGGAGGCCTGCAGAATGCTCCTGGGGGCTGGGGAGGGCAAAAACGGGGCGCAGGGGGGTTTGGAGGCCAAAAATGGCCCTGTTTTTGGCCTCTCAAACCCCCCACGCGTCACACATTGCCGTCCCCAGCCCCCAGAGTACTCTGCAGGCCTCCCAAACCCTCTGCGCATCCCATTTTTCGCAAAAATAGGACACGCAGAGGGTTTGGAAGACCTGCAGAGTGCTTCTGGGGGTCAGGGAGGGCAAGACCCGGACGCGTGGAGGCCAAAAACTATTTTTTTTCTTGTTTTCCTCTTCGAAATCTTGGTACGTCTTATACTCCGATGTGTCTTATAGTCCGAAAAATACGGTAAATGCTGGGCTGCATGTTTTCCAGAGCAGGGTTGGACAGCAAGAGGCTTTTTGACATTGGGGGAGAAGAATCCCAGGTGATTTCTATGATAGCTGGGAAATAGAATTCTGAGATGAGATCTCTCTGCCCACAACGGAGGCAGAATGAAATATATAATCCTACCGGTAATAGTGTAGGATTGTGGTGCTGGTAGTTTTAATTCTTTATTGATAATAGATGTTCATTTATTCATTACTTCTGTTTTTGCCTCAACCTTTCAATCTGAAGAGTACTCAAGGCAGCCAATAGACAAAAATAAAAAATCAAATGGAACTATTTGAATATAAAAAGTTTTTAAAAGCACAGTTAAACTGATCATCAGTTCAAGTTGAAGGGTGTAATCACCACTTTTTAATTTATAGCATATTTTTACAATGTGGTTTATAACATAAAAAGTTTAAAACAATAAAATATGCTATGAATTAAAAAGTAGCAAAAATTGATAAACCGCCATTAAAAATATTACAATTGGAAGCCTGTACCCTGTTTATAAATTAATTCTTTTTTAGCTTGTTTTGTTACTTTTTAATCTTTTAATTTTAATGTTCTAATTGCTTTATTGCTGTTTTATGGTATAAGCCATCCAGAGTTGCCCAACAGTGAACTGTGAAACATAAAGTAAATTAAGGTGGCTGAAACACCCGAATTTGAAGGGCCTGCATTTTTAAAATGCTTATACATAACCTTGTCAGCCCTCTTACAAAATATAATCAAAAAAGCAATATCAACATACAGCTTCATTTAATGGGTTTAATATTAGAAAATTAGGGGTTAGGATACAGAAACTTGAAAACTGGATAAGCAAACAGCCCATCCTTAATTACCATTGAATTTATTAAGATGATGTGTCTGAGTTATTTGAACCACTTCTTCTCACATTTCAAAACTGAAGGAATAACTTCTTTTTCCCTTTTTTTAGATGATAAAAAGTCAGGTTGGTGTCCATGATAGTCCAATCAAAGTTTTCTCTAATATGTGATGCAGATGTTGACATTTTTACCATTTCCTATGGGTTACCCCTGCATTGCGAAATCCATTTGCAGTTTTAGCAATTTTGAAATACTGCCTTTTCTTTCCCAGCTTCAGTGATTTCTCTTACAAAGCCTTATGTTAATAAGCCTTATTTTCCCCCATATTTATGCATATTTCTTTATTTGTTTTACAGTGAGTGCCATGGCTGAAAGATTGGCAAATCAGTTTGGAATTTATAAGCCTGTTACAAACCTTTTCCTTCAGTACATAGAACAAGAAAACATGAATGATGCTGAGCTTCTTCTACAGGTAAAAGAATATGCCAGAATCAAATATGAATCTAAACGGGTGTGTTTAGGTTGTATTTTTTTGATAAAGGATTTTTTGTCTATGCTTAATGGAAAATTAACATTAAACATTCAGACAGTGAACATGGTTTACCATTATCCAACTACTTTCAAGCAAAAATGGGGTTTTATTTTTCAAACAGTGGTTTCCTTAGCTTTTCAATTGCTGAAGTGTTGAAAGGAGGTTTTTTTTTTTTAAAAAAAAAAGCAATTAATCTGGCATGTTAACTGACAAATGCAGTGAACCATATTCTCTCCCTTTTAGAATTGGCAGTCTTCGGGGAATAGGATGACCATGTTTGCGCTACTTTAACAGGGCTAAATATAGAGCTGAGAAAAATGCAGAACAAACTGAGTGATAAGAGCTGGCACTGGGAATGTACACAAACAGGCTTCAGCAGGCTGACTTTCCCAGCAGGTGGCAGTCAGACAACCACAATGATCCAGCAAATTGTGGGCTTCGTATAAGCTCCCTCTGTCAAACAGAAGCCTGCTTCCAGTATCTGATAAAAAAAACCCACTGCTTGTTCTTGCTTAGCTGCTAAATACTTTAAAGAGGACATTGAAAGAAAAACACCTCCTCTTCTAATCAGAATGTTTTGCGGCATCTGGGGAGATTAGGTAATAGGACTGTGTGGTAAAAGGAAGACTTTTGTCTGTTGCTTATAAAATTAAAAGAACTTTAGGGTTTGGTCATCATCTAGTAGTTGAAGAGTTCTGTTGGCTTTCAATGGACCTCATTATCATTATGAATAGCTTATCTAGAATGTTAAATTTTGTTTAATTTCTGCTCAAGAAACAATATGGATTTGTACATGGAAAATCAGTGAGCAGATTCGGAGTGATGTTCTTAAAACATTTCTTGGTTTTTTTTGAAGACGATTGAATAGTTAGCTGCATATACTTTGTATCACTGATATATTTTAGAAGACACATTTTTATGTCATAAAATTAGAACTGGGTTTTTTGTTTTGGTTTTTTATAAATATACATGTAAAATATTTTTAGTTTCATTTAAAATTAATTCAAATATTTCAGCGTGTTACATTATCTTACTGGTACTAAGAATATGCCTAATGGCTCTCTGTATATACAGCTTTGCGCAAAATTACCGTAATAGGGCATCATTGATCGGATTTACCAAAGCAAAATATCTGGTTTACGATTCTTAAGATTGTCAAGGGACCTCTTTACTGTGTTAAGATCGAAAGGAAGGAAGAACCAAGCAACTTGTCTTGGCCTCTCTGTCTCAAAATCCCAAATGCTAAGACTGAGGCATCATATATTAGTTTTTTTCTTTGTCCTCTTTTTGTTCTTCAGAAACATATTGTTCATGTTATGGTGGGCTGGAAATTGAATGCCATAGAACCTGGTTATTTTTTGTCTCCTTTGCTTTAACGCAGCTCTTTAGTTCATATTCTTAAAGGATGAAGTGTGAGTCCTCTGAAGACAGCAATAAATATTGTCCAAATTAGTGAAAAATACACTAAGAGATGGTATTAATATAGATCTTCTGTAACTAATTCCATTAGTTTTAAACAATTCCATGGGAATTTTGAACAATGTGTTGAACAGTGTCTTAAGTTTCTCATCTCTTAGCACTGACAGTTATAAAAGCTATAATGACTTTTTAAAATGGTTTGCAATATGCCTCTGTCATTAACTTTAGTTTCAAGTTAAAAATATCACTGGCATTGCCCCAAATTATGGTGGATCCTACATATATTTTAAAGGATTTTTTTTAAAAAAATATTGCTTGTTAGAAATGCCATAAAGACTACATATTTTTCTCTCTCAGTTGGTGCACAGATCATAATTCTATTGTGGTCCAGAATCATGTACAGATACTATTAAGGCTGATACTCACAAATAAACTCACAAGGATTTAGGATCGTATTTTGTGACTATCTCTCAAGGAAGATGACCCATTTATTTCAATACACAATGCACTATTTAATTAAGGCATGGAATTAGAATTAGAAATAGCATTTTGCTATTGCATGCTATTTATTTTAAGATGCCTTTCATGAAATATTTTCATATCCTAAGTTGTGATAATAAATCTGTGAATGAATGATGCAGAAGAGGGATAGCAATCCATGAATCGAAGAGCGCATACTACTAACGCTGCTAAATCGTGGTAACAAAATACAGCAAAATTCAAAAACACATTTTCTCTGGCCTTTACAGGTTTGGAGCAAAAAACAAAGAAAAAAAATGTTTTCCTATTTTAACGTTTACCACAAAATTATCTGAGTTCATGCAACAGCCTATTAGGACAGCTCTGCTGCTAATAGTTTGTTGAATTAATGTGTCTTCACAGTAATCTGTTATATCTCAGTTCCATTTTGTGTCTACTGAAGCCTCCTCAAATTATGCTGATTAAATTCAGCAGTAAATAAACATGTTTGTAGCTTTTTTTTAAACTTAAAAATGAACTATAAAAAGGTTTGTGAACTATCTTACAGCACATCTGTTTTGAGTCATTTCTCTCTTAAACACACACAGACCCAGACTAGGATTAAAGGGTTCAAAAAGAAAGCTAAAGGGTACTTCAACACCATGTTGCTCTGCTTCCTCAAATGTTTAAAATCTTTTTCTTTTTAAATCACCTCAGCTGCTAAAAGTTTGCTCACCCCTGATCTATAGGATTTGCTTATATTTCTACTTCTAAACAAAGGGGAATAGAGGTTTTAACATTGATGGGTTGGAGGCGGGAGGAGAAGTCAATGTATATTTTTCAAGTTTTCAAAAAACGAGAGAAATTTAAAAAGCAGCAAATCAGACAATGTTTTAGTTTTATTGTCTGCTTTGCTGTTTTTCTTTTCTTTCCTTCCATAGAATTTCTGAGATGGGACAGACACTTGATTTTTCGGGTCTGTCAAAAAAAAAACTTTGAGTTTAACTTTTGTCTCTTGAGCAGTGGCTGTCTGTTGCAGAGAAAGCCTTTTATAAAATAGAGAGATTGAAATCAGTCCTTTTGTATGTGTAAGTGTAGGTAATTATACTTTAAAGAGAACTTGCTTTGTACATTTTAATTTTTATAAAGAAACGAGCAGTTATCTCTCTGACACCTTATTAAATGTATAATTAACCTTATGATCCCTGCCTCACTTGTGAATGCTTGGCAGAATAATTGGAGAAGAATAGTCTTCCCCCCTTTCTTTCTTTTACAGTCCTAAATCTCTTTCCTGTGGGTTGTTAAGCCATTTCTTCATTTTCTTCTCCCTTTGCAGCAAACATAATGTTTATAATGCCAAGAATAGCGTTTGCCAGAAAAAGAAGAAGAAATAGGTCTTAGACTCCCATCTAAGTTTCTTTCTCCAGGTTTTTAATAACTGGTTGACCATTAAGGCCTTTAGTAATAATATATTATTGGCTATTGTGAACTTTTCTAATTGAAAGGTGTGTTTTATTTATCAAGATATTACAGTTACTTTGCTCATTTAATTTTCTTTCTTTTTCTCTCCCCCCCCCCTCTTTTCTTTCAAGAGAAACAAAGCAATAAGTGAACAAAAGAGTTATATCATAGCTTTTATTATACAGAAATCCAGGACCAAAGGACAGGTATATAAACTTTTTTAAAAAAAAAATTGAATGTAATTAGCATATTCTTTCTAGCATCTTTACTTAATTGTGTTCTGATGTCAGCATTTGCATTGTTGAACATTCTCACAGGGATGTTAAGATTGAACTTTCTCAATCCGAGAAGAGAAAAGAAAAAGGGAGATAGTCCAATTTAATATAAACAGTGAACATCTTACCTTCTTTTGATTCTAAAGTGACTAAAAATGCATGATTTACAACTTGAATCACTGTAGTTTAGGGATAAAGCACACAAATTGTAGGCAGAGTGCCCCAGATTAAATCCCTAAAATAGATTTTGGAAAAATTTGTGGGAAACCCTGGAGAACTTCTTATAATAAACTATAATAATGATACAAGGTAGTTTCCTATATTTTTGCCCTTTGGTTTCTCTAATAAGCTGTCCACATTGTGCTTTTTCTGCTGAAAGCATCTCTGGATTCAAACTGTAGCACTTTTGTTTTTCTTTAGCCCTAAATCTTTATGAAAGATATTTCACTAATATTCTATGCCTGTAATTTTTCTAGAGCAAAAAGATCAGGACTTTACGGGACCTGATACCTGATTTCAAAGATCAAGACCAATTGTTCCACTACCTCCTGAAAAGCTACTGTAAGATTTAATGTTTAGTTTTTTTCACATTTTGTGTACATATCTGCATTTTAATTTAATTTACATATCTGCATTTTGTTTGTTTGTTTGTTTGTTTATTTGTTGGTTGGTTCGATTTATATGCCGCCTTTTCTCCGGAGATTCAGGGCTGCTTACAGTGCGTTAAGCAATAGCCTTCATACTTTTGTATATACCTGTTTAGTAGGGCTTTCGGCCTCCCCTAAGCGGTGCTCTTTTTTATACAAAGCTTATTGCCCCCACAATCCGGGTCCTCATTTTACCTACCTCGAAAGGATGGAAGGCTGAGTCAACCTTGAGCCTGATGAGATTTGAACTTGCAGTAATTGCAGGCAGCTGGTGCTACTTAATAGCACTTAAGTCTGCTGCGCCACCAAGGCTCTTTCGCGTCTCTTTCTTGAGAGAGCTGAAGAAGCTTCTTGGATGAGAAGGGAAACATTTTCAAAGAAAAACCAGAAAGCCCAGTTGCCTCTTGAAAAAGCACATTTGGGATTGGATGTTATGATATTTTGGCATTTTTAAAAATGTAGCACCTCCTCATGAAACAGAAATGTGGATGGGAGTCACAGGAGCTGAAACCCACTGCATTTGGAGGTAGATCAGGGTTACTTAAACTCCCCAGGGAGTGAGTTATACAAATCAGACATCCTGCAAAGGAAGCAAACCAATAGATAGTCATTCTGTTTTTCATCGAGACTAATTCTCTGCAGTCCTGTTCTCGATGCATATGTGTAGGTGGGCGGTGAGGTAGGAGAAGCTCTTTATATTGTTAGTCTTCCAAGAATAAAGAATTACTAAGAAAATGTCTCAGTTATGCGGTCCATTAAACATAATCTCACTATTCTTTCATACAATAGATACTTCCATTTTAAAGGAATGGGAAGTTAACAATTTCTATTATACCTTTATTAAACCATCACTTTCTGCAGATTCTGAAGCCTCCCACAGTTAGAAAGCAACACTTCTACACTTGCAGCTGTGAGTGGGGAGTTTCTTCTTAGCAAATGGAGGGATCTGAGGCATACACCTCCATGGAATAGAAGCTTTTTAGTTGAATAACTCCCTGTTGGAAAAGCAGATACCACAAGTTAAATGAAAATCAAATCAGTTCAGCATAATTTCCCAAAACACTGTTTAGTGTTTCTGTCACTTATTGCATGAAGAAGCAAAGAAACAACAGTAAATGTTTTGCTGCACAAGCTCTGTAGGAAAACATCGGAGTTAGTAGGGTTATGTTGGAGGTCAGAGTTGCAAAGACACTTCCGTAGAGCCTATGTATGGTAAGGGCTCAATTGGTTGAGGATGACAGCTTCGGTGTAAAAGCAACCTCTGCTATTTATGATCAAAGCAGAAAACCTTCTTTAGGAATTTTATTACTTTTTGAATGGGAATCATTAACCAGGGTTGTAAATGTCTTCATCTCCTAGCAAACTCCGATCTTATCACTATTTAAAAGAATGCAGTAGCACTTAGTACCACTGACACTTTTCTGATTGGCTTGTGTTTCATATTCTGTAGAAGCTTTACTGCAGCTGAGATCAATAACTATAAGAACAAGGGACTTGATTTACCTCTTAGTACTGTGTTTCCCTGAAAATAAGACCCTGTCTTATATTTTTTTGAACCCCGAAATAAGCACTTGGCCTTATTTTCAGGGAGGTCTTATTATTTTGGGGTGCATGGAGGAAACCAGAGGAAATGGCAGGGACCGGCTGTGCATGCATTTAAATATTTTCGGGGAGGGCTTATTTTCAAGGGGGGGTCTTATTTTAGTGCATGCGCTCAAAAGCCCGATTGGTCTTATATTAAGGGGGTGTCTTATTTAAGGGGAAACAGAGTAGTTCCATTCCAAAAATAGAGATTTTGCTAAATCAGCTTTTCAAAGCTTTGTTTAATCACACCAATTAATCAATTCTTGCTTGTAGCCCCACTACAATCCAGTATTCTTTCACTGGGATGAGTAGGTTTATTGTAGAGCACAGTCAAACTCGCAGTGTTGTGTTGCCATCGCGTGGTGTTTCACAACATTTTTTCCCTTCGCGGAGCTGGGACAGGCGTGGCCTGCGCGTGAAGTATCCTTCCCACAGGCCGCCATTTTGACATCCCTGCTGTAGAGCAACAAATTGAGTCTGTTGGATACTTTCAAACCACATCTTGACTTTGTGAAGTGTGCAGCTAGATATTTCTGAACACAAAGCATGCTGACTAGATAGACAGACAGAATACAAAGATAATTTTAAATACTTACAAATTATTTGGTTTATTTTTCTTTTTTAGACTTGGAAAAGGATGTAGTTTCATGTAAAGCTCTGTATGAAGAAATGAAAGCAAAAAATATTCACTTAAATGACCTGTGTTTGAAACGTTTGGCAGTCCTTCTGAAAGAATTCGGACAACCTGTTCCTTTCACTGAACCTCCTGTGAGTGCTTAGTGATTTTCATGAGGGGAAATCTATGTGCTTGTAAATTTTAATAAAACATGTTTAATTTTGCTCAGATTAAAGTTTCTCAGAGAACACTTATTGTTTTACTCCAGTGTGATATCTCATTAGTGGGAGAACTGAAATTTTGGGGATCTGTATTTTTAAGCCAAAGATTCAAGCTCAGGTGTGGATTTACCATGCATCTGCAGAATATTTTATCTTTAAATGATTACTGCATGCTTTAGTGTAGAATAAGATCTAATGTATATTGTAACTGATTACTACATAAAGTTCTCAATTAACAAACGTTCGTTCAGTTACAAAGTATTGCTTACAACCACTACTTGAAATTCCCACCATTCCACAGTCACATAATGGTGATCCAGGCACATCCAGAGAGTGGCCAATGTCACACCTCGAGTGGTTGCAGTATCCCATGGTCACATGGTCCCCAATTGTGCCCTCCCCTGCTGGCTTCCCCAAAAGCAAAGTGAGTGGGGAAGCCTGCAGGGAAGGTGGCAGGTTGTTCCCACTCCTTCCACTTTTTGTTCTGAGGAGCCTGGCTATGGAATACACAATCCCCATGACCCACACCACAGCAGCCACCTGTCCATCCTTTCACACTGGCCATCCTGGCCTGGCAACATTTGCACTGTGTAGCAACTGTTACCAGGATATCCTCCTGTATCTGGCTAGAGCCACTCCTGGCTAGCTACACCCATGCCGCCACAGCACTTACTCCCCATTGGCCTGCTTGTGGCTTGAGACTGTCTGCAAGCTTTCCGGTTGACTATGTTTTTGAAATTCAGGAGGTTGCAAAGTGGTTCCTCACTTAATGACAGCAATGGGAACTGCCAGGATTTCTTAGTGGCATTGCTATCACTAAGCAATGCGGTAAGTGTGATTTCACACTTAACGCCACGTCACTTTGCAGTGGAAATTCTGCTCCCAATTATCATTGTTAAGCAAGGACTGCTTGTACTTTATAAATCTTTTCCATGAGCTTTTGTATGACCTTTTTGCCATGCTTGTTAAGGGAATCACTGCAGTTATTAAGTGAATCACATGGTCATTAAGCAAATTCAGTTTACCCCCATTGACTATGCTTGTTAGAAATCAGCTAGGAAGGTCACAAATGGTGATCACATGACCCTGCAGCCATTGTAAGTACATGCAGGTTGCCAAGCACCCAAATTTTGATCATATGACCACGGGACACTGCGACAGTCGTAAGTTTAAGACTGGTCCTAAGTCACTTTTTTCAGTTTTGTCATAACTTTGAATATTGCTGAACAAATGGTTGTAATTTATAACAAAATAACAATACTTCCCCATTAAAAATATCCTTATATTTTTAATATCATTGCCGTTAGAATAGATATATCAAATATTCTGTTACAGAGAAAAATCTGAGGCTCTGATACAGAAATTGCTTGGTATATATGTTAAAATATGGCTTATTTGTGTTCTCACTTCAGTTTCTTGCTTTCTTTTTGTTTCTTGCTTCTTTTTTTTTTACTGTAGGAAAGCTTCACATTCTACGCAGAGAAGTTAAGGAGTGAAAAGGAGTCACATTCATCCGATGATGATTAACTTGTTTATATATTAGCTTCTGTTAGAAATACTGTGATTATTGTAAAAGGGCCTGTTTTAAATTCTGTGTTATTGTCAGAAAATAAAGGTGAAAAAATAGGACTTTTTGTGTAATGTAACTGACTTCTATACCATTACAGATTTACACTAGTTTTACCCTGAAGGTTGCTTTTGCTGCTAACAAAAATATATATAAAAGAGTTACATGTGAACTATATGCTGTATTTTTCGGAATATAAGACACACTTCCCCCCCCCCTCCAAAAAGAGGGTGAAAATTTGGGTGCATCTTATACACTGAATGTAGCCATAAACACAAGACACTGAGGCGGTGATGGTCTTTGGCAATCCCTGCAGCCTGGAACAGCTGATTGGGGGTATTCCGGAAGGCCGATCCACCCGCCAATCAGTTGCTTGTGCTGAATCAGGCTGCAATAATGTGCTGAAACTGACCTGGCTATTTGCTATTTGCTGCAAGGACTCAGAGTTTGCAGCAGCAATCACATCCAGAAAGCACACACAAGTAATTGATTTAGCAGGATTCAATAACTTCTCTTTATATATAATATAACACATGAAATAAAATATACAATACCAAAAGCAGGTTTTCCAAGCAAAACACAAGCAGAGGAGAGGAATTTCAGTTTCAGTTTTGAGCAGCATACTAGTTTGCAGCTTTAGCACAGACTCAGAGCTGCATACCTAAACCACAGATTTCCATTGCCCAGGCTCTTTGCTGTCTCCTTCCTTGTTGCTCACACAGCAAATACTGTTTCAGTTTCCAAACAGCCCTCAACTCTCTCTCTCACACTGACAGGACCCAAGCCAGATGAATACCGATGGATGCTAGTAGGCAGAGGCAGATTTTTTTTTCTTATTTTCCTCCTCAAACACTAAGGTGCGTCTTATACTCCGAAAAATACGGTATATCACTGTTTCTTCATTTCTTCTGGTCTGCATTCATTTTGCTACCTACCCTCAGCACATCTATTCCAGTAAAATTCTGGCTTCAAAGAATAAAGTTGTGCATGTATTCATGATTTGTTTTTAAAAAAGAAAAAAAAAAACCGAGTGATTGGATTATAAGTAAGGGGAAACCAGCACAAAAAACTAAGACAATATCTATAACGGGTGACAAACAGCTATAGTCAGCCAACAGAAAGAGTTGTAATTTTTCCAAAAACCTTCTGATCCCTAAAAACTCTTCATTTTTTCTAATTGTTTTTGATTGAATTTCCAATCTTTTCTCACATGTAAATGGGGTAAAATAAGGATACTTCTGATACCAGATTCAACTGCAGCAATTAAATTTCAGATTTCTGTAGCTCTTTCAAAGTTCAGAATTCGCTCAGACTCCAAAACCATAGATAATCCTCATCCTCACCAGTATTATATTGTATATATTTCCTTGAAAATGTTAGTTCCTTTTTAGAAAATCTGCAAATTTCATTAATGGTCACTGTACGAATGCAAAGCTCTGTAATTATTTTTACGGGTGCAGAAAATTGTGAGATGGGCAGTTATACAAATCAAATAAATAATCAGAAATAATTAAGCCAATGTTTCCATTATCTGTCAAAGTTTGGACAAATTACTGCTTTATCTAAGAAATGTAGATATAGTACATTTTTCATTAGTGGTACCAGTGCCATAGATTTCCATTGTTAACTTTTTTATACTCACAACCTGGAGTATTTTTCTGTTTTTTTTTCAGTATAGTTTGTTATTAGAGAGCACATTAATAGCACATTGTCGTGAGTATGCTTAAAATGTTGAAAGTATTTGTCATATGGAAACTTTGGAACATTTTTAAACAACCTTCCCTTGAAGTTCAGCCAAGAACTTTCTTCATACATTTTAGAGAATATGTGAAAGCTCCCGATTGGTGGAGAGATGGGGCGATGCATTTGGTTTTTCTGTTGCTGTTCTGTGTATCTTTCTTCCCCAGCAGGTGGGAATGACTCAAAATCACCAATGTGCCAAATAGAGCATTATAATACAAGCCCCACCCTTTTCTATTTTCATCAATGTTGTATGCTCATTCAAAGGGGCTGGGGCTTGCAGTATAAGAGCTGCAGTGGCGCAGTGGTTAGAGTGCAGTATTGCAAGCTACTTCTGCTGATCACCGGCTGCCAGCAGTTTGGCAGATTGAATCTCACCAGGCTCAAGGTTGACTCAGCCTTCCATCCTTCCAAGGCCGGTAAAATGAGGACCTGGATGCTGACTCTGTAAACTGCTTAGAAAGGGCTATAAAGCACTATGAAGTGGTATATAAATCTAAGTGATATTGCTTTAATGCCTCATTTATCATCTTGTTGATTTTCATGCACACAAAGTGCTGGGAAAGACATTGAGAGACAATAAGGCATAAACAAAATGCATAGCACACATACCATATGCTATGGTCACTGCTGTTTGTTTCCTCAGTTTCAGGCCCAGATCAAAGAACAACCCAGATGGATTAAGGTAATCTAATCCAGCACTCTGGCAGTCTGATCATTCAGAAGATACGGGAAAGTAACAAGCAGAGTCTTTCTTAAATAAGTAGAGAAGTCTAGTTGCTTGACATTGAAATTTGCAGTAATAGCATTGAATGATACACTGTAAATCTAAGCAACATGATCTATAGCAACTTTCTAGGGTTTCATTTCTGTTTTTCCTGAAAAGCAACTTGTATAAACTTAAATAGAGACTTCCAGTTGACGTTGCGGCGATATCAGACACAGGGAACAGGACTCCATGTTCCCTGTGCTGAGTTCTCTCTGTTTGTGGGCTCCGAGAGGAGCCAAAGCTGCCCTGTAGAGGCAGTAAAGCAAAGAGGGTTGCCCTGTGAGGTCGCAGAGTGTTGCACCTCTTCTGTCTGACCCAGGGTTCTTTTTCCCTCTTAGCCACGGCAAGAAGAAGAGGCAGCCTAAAGATGGCTGCCACACACCTGGGACAGCCAAATAACAACGAAGACTGGTGCTGGAGCGAAGTAGATGAACAGTGACTGGAACTGGGGGAGAGGATTCCTTTTTATTTTAAACTTAACCCCAAGGAATAATTTCAAACTATTTGCTCAGAATTATTTGTTAAAGCGGCGTTTAAACATTCTGAGAAAATACCAGACTGAAAGAGAAAGGCACAAGAGAGAAAAATAATAAAATTTGAAATATACAGAAAATTGGACTCTTAAACTGGGAAGACATACTGGGAAGGCATTTTAAAATGCTGGAATCATTTACTTACAAAACTTATTCTGCTTTTATAATTGATTTACAACTAAAATGACGATTGACTAGTAGCAATACAGAAATTTAAGTTGAGTGTGCCACCTGCTGACGAAAGGAAAAATTACAAGTCTGGGAATACCTATATGAAGGACTGTGAAAATATTTACTGGATTATTCCTAACTACCCCATGACTACTGGAGACTCAAATATGAAAATAAGAAAGCTATTTAATTAAAGAGACCCCTGAATGTTATGATAGAAGATTGAACCTGTAAAGGGGATGCAAAGAGGCTTTTGATAACCTCTGGGACTATTTAAATGGAACTGATTGTTTACCTATGGGATATAAAGAACTGTGATTAGTGCACTCCTTGAAGGACAGTTTAAGGATTGAATAAATAGTTCTTGGACTGATGGACAAACATTATTTTTTAAAAACAAAATAAAATGCTTTATAAGGAAGAAATGAGTGGAACTTTGAAGGAGATGGGATTACTTTTTCAAAACAAAGGACATCATGGAGAAAGGATTAAACAGCCAAGAAGCAGATGCAGACAATGATAAAGATCCAAAAGAGGAATACTGGAGGCAAGCCAAAAAAACATAGCAATTAAAGTATTGAAGCGGGCAAGAGATGATGGATAGATTATTTCTCTTTTGCTGTTCTGATTTGCTTTTCTCTTTTTTAGATAGGTGAGATGACTAGAAGTTAGAATAAGGATAGAAATAGGGAAAGGGGGAATATTAGTGTATACACTTACATGATGAAAGCAATAACAAGAAAACATGGAATAATTGAATAATGACAGACTAACTTAATATGTGTATTATTATTAGAAATATATAAATGGATTGAATGTAATAACTGATTAATTCTACTAGTTTTATTTGTATTAGAATGTATGACACCCAGGTGCCACACTATTCACGCGTTGATATGTTTGTAAAAAAAATTTAAAAAATTAAAAACTGGGTGGGGGGGAAATTGGCAGTAATAGCATTGAATAATATACTGTAAATCTAAGCAACATGATCTATAGCCATGATGGCGAACCTATGGCACATGTGCCACAGGAGGCACGTGTAGCCATATCAGTGGGCACGCCAGCTCAGCTCTGGCGCACATGTACATGCTGGCCACCTGATTTTCAGGCCTTTTGGGCCCACCAGAAGTAGGGAAACAAGCTGTTTCCTGCCTCAGGAGGGCCTGGAGGGGGTGGGGAAGGCTGTTTTCACCCTCCCCAGATGCATAGAGAGGATCTGGAGCCAGGTGACAAAGAAAAATGGGCCTATCGAGCCATTGCGTGCCAGGAGCAGGGGGCAGGGCGAGTTGGATGCGCATGCATAGGGTGAGGCATGTAGAATTATGGGTGTGGGCACGCGCGCACGTGCGAACTCCCCCATGCCCCCCTTCTTGGCACGCGATGGCAAAAAGGTTAGCCATCACTGATCTATAGCAACTTTCTAGGGTTTCATTTCTATTTTTCCCGAAAAGCAACTTGTATAAACTTCCACACAGAACCAAGAAATACAAATTCCTTCATTTTTGCAACAAACTAATCTTGGAAGTAGAATTGTATAGAAGATCTTGGGCCAGAATATGAGAATAAATGAAGTTGCTTCCTGAAACCATAGTTTGTTTACATAATTATTAACACTGCATAGGGTACTCTTTCCTCTATTATAGATGTCAGAGTTCATCCCTCATTCTCCATAGGGTGTTTGAATCTCATCAACCCTGATAACATTTATTTTTTTCTTCCTAGTATATTTCTTGCAAGTACAGCGTCTGTTTTTTTCAGATCAGCCAAATGTTGATCCATTGGTTGCAACAGGAATTGAGTAACTGGGTTGTCACACAAGCCTGACATGAGCTGAGAGAGAGACTGGCCCAAAGTCACGCAGCCAGCTTTCACGCCAAAGGTGACACTAGAACTCAGTCTCTTGGTTTCTAGCTCAAATTGGCTCTCCACACTGATAATAGAATGATGTGATTAAATTACTCCCATTTCTATGCTTAAATTTTCAGGCAAACAAGAAAGAGCTGTATAATAAAGCACAACACCACAGGTTTTGCTAATTAGCACTATAATTATTTTTCTCTAGTGCTTATATATATTAAGATAATGACACATGGCTCCATGTTTGAGTGTTTTGTTTTGCAGAGAAGTTTATTTAGGTGTTTAATGTTATTTTGTAATGAAAGGCATTTCTCCCTCTTTTTGGGGAACTACTCCAGAAAAAAAAACATTTCTGTAATTGAATCCTTTCGGCAATCCATTCAGTAGACTATAACTCTTACTCCTACATGTCCTTTAGAAGATCTGTTCTATGCACAGAGGAGCCAAGTGTGTTACAGAAATCAAAGTATATTAAACTATGAAAATAGAGAACTTGTGAATGTTTTAAATAACAAAGACAAAAACATGAAGGGCCTGCATTCCACCTTGAACAGCTAAAAATCAAGATGACAAATGTCTGTAAAAGAGCAAAATGCAGTTATTCTCAATAGTTTTTTGGTTTGATAGTTTTGCTATCACACAGAGTTGATCTGTCAAGGGGAAGAAGAATGTCTTTCAGTAACAAATAATCATAAAGTAAATGAAGAGGTCATTTGGCCTATGTTGTAAAACCAATTTATTTTATCCCTGAATAGTTCATAGAGTTAAAGAGTCACATTGCATCATAATCACCCTTTCTCCATATTAATATGCTCAGTTCCAGCCATCTAAGACCTGATTTCCTTGCACTTTATATCATTGTCCCCTGTAATATTAAAATTAAAGTCCCAAAAGTGCTTTTCAAAAGACAACTAGACTTTCTTGGGGTTTTTTCTTTGAAAATGTTTCGCTTCTCATCCAAGAAGCTTCTTCAGTTCTAACTGAATGGTGGGGAATGGAACGATTCATATCCCTTGCAGGATTCCTTCCATTCCCCATCAGTCGGTCAAAACTGAAGAAGCTTCTTAGATTAGAAACCAAATGTTTTCAAAGGAAAAAAACCAAGGAAGTCCAGTTGTCTTTTGAAAAGCACCTTTGGGTCAACCATGACCTGGATGATTGAGAATCTCCATAGACACTAGAATTAAAGAAAAGCCAGCATTATTCACTAGTAACAGATTCAGGTTTGCAAACAAAATACTATAAGAACCTCCCTTGGTTTTATTATGTCATTTAGTATCTTTGAAATAGAATTGGTTGTAAAAAAAATATTTCTGAGCACAAAAAAAATACTGAAAGTGTTTTAAAAGTTCCTGGCCAAATGGCTTTCTAGTTTGCTTGATTTTAATACATATTTATTATAATAAATATATGTCCTCCTCCCCAGCAAAAAGGATGGAAA